CACACACACACACACACACACACACATATACACACTATTAATATCTTAAATGATACAATTAGTCCCAAAATACTGAGTGCTTTACAGAGAGTAATATTAAACCACTGATTGCTAAAGCAAGTATGAGACTTGATGTGTGGATCCTGTGAAACGTCACAGAATAAGAGACTCGTTTGTTGACCAAAACCTGAGAAATGGTCCTTTATTTAGGGGTTTAGCTGTCTTAAATAAGCTGACGAGAGTGACTGATTCTCCCATAACTCTCCAAAGGAAGTTTTTCTTTAATTTTACACCAGAAGACCTCCAGGACGTAGCTGCTACTAAAGACTGCATTCAGACATCCTAACGAATGCCAAATCAAGCGCTCCAGACAGCCCTAAAATCCTTTTTAGTGCATTCACACCTGTGTTTTCCGCTGCCGAGATGCAATCAGATCACCCAGGACGGCTCTTAGTGTCAGGCCTGAACGTTCTCAAAGTTTTAAATGTTTTCCGAAAGCGCAGCCCAGCATTTTCCCCTTTCGACCCACTTATCCTGTCAGCCACGAGCCCCTGCAGCTTTGCTCTAATCACAGCACACAGCCAATTCACTCGCACAGTAATAATCGCTAATTATTCCCTCTCAGCTCCAAACCAATACCCCCCACCTCAACACATTTACACGCACAAAAGCCCTCCGCCAAGGCTGAATGGAGTCGAATCCAACAGGGGACGGCGGCTGGCGGAGGTCACCTTTCAGACGTCGAAAGGCAAGTGGTAAATCTGAGCTCCGAGACTAAACGCTTCCTGCTTTGTCTCTTAACAATAGAGGTTAAACATTCTCAATGAGTCGGGGTGGTTATTTACATATTTTCTAAGACTTCCTACTCACTTCTTGTGGAGGAAGGGTCACACTTCCTGAACTGCGCCCTGTTTCCCCGAAACAGTTGCGTTTGTTTCTCCCGGTTTCACCATCTCAGAGGATTGCATGTCAGGCCGACCCACTGGGCCCGACTGCAGGAGCATGAATAAGCATGGAGGAGATATGTTAAAAATAATCTGGAGAAGGAAAACTGCTGAATCCACGCATGTCTTCTTATATTAGTCTTTATTTTGTCTGAGACTTCTCCACTTGTCTCCATGCATGCGAGCCCCCTGGAACAAAAGGAGCATTTCCTCCGATGCTTATCAGAAGCAGAGCTCAACGTTCAGCACGCCTCTCTGCCCTATTATAGGGTTAGTGGAAAGGAACACAAATACCACACCAATTGATTCGTCGTGTGCAATGTTCTCAGACACAGACACATTAAGTAACTGTGGTTTTCTCCAACGCCCTCCAACCACCTCAAATCCTAAATGCTCCTGCACACATGCAGATGCACAGATAATTGACTGGCCTTTTCCAACAAGCTTCCTGTTCTAATCGTGGAAAGAAAGCCTAAGAAGTGTAAGGAGGAGATAAAGGAAACTGAGGGAAAGATCCAGCTGTCTTGGTCACAGCCAGGAGTTTAATAATCTCTACAGGAGGTACAAAACGCTACAATGATCTCTCAACTCCACATGTGTTCCTTTAGTTTCACCCTGGCATTTTGGCTTAAGACTTAGCAGATCTGCTTTATGTTTCCTGCCTTGACAAATGCGACTGTCACTCCCGTTGTTGCTGTGCCGGTGCTTGTGTCTGTGTGCAGCGACTTTAATCGAATGTGAAGAAACCGAAACTCCCAACTGCACAATGCAGTGGATTAAAATCTAATAATACTCTTACAGGGGAGCTGTGGAGATTCAGCGTTGCACTTTCATAAAGTAGAAGGGACTCTCAAGAGTTGCCTCGTAAAATATAAGTAAAATCTATCCAAGAGGCAAATATATTATATTAAAGAAAAAGAAAATTAACTCTTTTTTTTCCCTGAATGCATGTTCTGAGGTCGGTTCTGTACCCGTCTTCAGTTTGTAACCCAAAGCCCATGACCTAATTTATTTTAAAAATCCCTCCGAAACCACAGCAGAGCATATCTATCCTCTTATGTTCATCTCAAACCCATTTTTCTAGAACTGGTTGACGGTCAACCTGAGAAACTTTTTTGTCCGTGGTTCCAAAACTTTGGTCAAGGTTCGAATAAGGGAAGCGTAATGTCTTAGCAAATCATCCAGAAATCTCTTAGAAACAATTTAACTTTATAGGTGACTGTTAATATAACAAGCAGAATAATGAAGACAGAGAACACCGCAGAGAGGGGTGGGCAACTCCAGGCCTCGAGGGCCGGTTTCCTGCAACTTTTAGATACATATTTACTTCAACACACCCGAGTCAAATAATGAGGTCATTAGCAGGACTCTGGAGAACTTGACTGCACTGAGGAGGGGATTCAGCTGTTGGATTCAAGTGTGTTGGACCCGGGAGGCATCTAAGAGTTGCAGGACACCGGCCCTCAAGGACCAGGATTGCCCACCCCTGCCGTAGAATCATTTGCTGAATGTTGCAATATTCAGCAAATGATACGATTCGATGGATTTTTAAGATTTTCCGAAAGATTTTAGAGGGACTTTGATTTTGATGACATTTTGTGACTCTTCCATAAACTTGGATTGAATGAATTGAACTGATGGTGTAATACTGCTGTAATAAATGTTTTTGTTATACATCTGTTACACATGTTCATTGTGTGGCTTTGTGTATTTGGTTATGCAGAAAAGGAACCTTTTNTGTCTCATTCCNTTATATCATGTAATTTATTTATTTCATTTAATTAATTAATTAATTGTAACTGGTTGTTTCATTATATGTCACTTTAATGTACACGTGCAACTGGATAAAAATCATCATTTAAGTCATGTGGATTTGACATAAAACTCAAAGAAGAATTTAATGCATTGATACTCGTGGATGGAAAATCGATACTTTCCGAGGAACATTTTTTTTAATAAATATCGTAGAATCGATAAAATTACACAGCCCTATGGAAGAGTGTCTATTGTTGAAAGAAAGCCACAGAAAGACTCATTTGTAGTTCACACAAGCCATATAGGCGACAACTAAATGCAACTTAACAGGTTAAATTTCATGAAAGCACAATTAGAAAAGCACTGGACACGAATGGCTTGTTTGAAATGATTTAAGCAAGACCGTGTTCTCACTTAAAGGAAATAATGTAGAAGTACAGCTTGGCTTTCCAAAGCCACATCTGAATGAACCAAAAGTCTTTTGAAATGATCGCCGTTGGTAAGATGAAAGTGGAGACACATGGCTGCAAAGCAGTACACCGTTTTTGGCGAAAAGATAAAAACCACATATTAGCACGTACAACTCATACAAACTGATAAGCACGGCGATGGAGGGGTAATGATTGGGGTTTACCACAGGGCTGTCCTGTAGTCTGTAATTTTGACCTCAATGTGAGGTAATTTTTGTCATGGTGAGAGCTTGACTGAATCTGTAAGTTACCGGACAATTATCTCAAAGACTCTAGAAAAATGTAGTGCCGAGTGGCTGGGGAAAAAAAGAAAGAGTGGAGATTTTGCAACAGTCCAGTCAAAGCCTAAAACTCAGAGGAGGCTGGGAAGGATTTAAAGCGACTGAAAATGGCAGCTTCAAGACTTTGCTCTCAGAGAAGGTTTTGAACCAAAGGGTACACTTATATCGATAGTTGTGTAAACTTACTTTCCCCCATGAGTGTATCATCAGGTACGTGGAGAAACTGCTGCTGATCAATGTTGCCAACAAACTTAGCAGCGCACTGAAATTGCAAGAGCCGTTTTTTTTTTTTTTTTTTTTTTTTAAGATTAGACTCAGACTCCAAATTATCCCTGGAACTAAATTTTATCACAAGTGCTCCCTGATGTCACTGATTATGTCTGAGGCTTTAGTTGGCAGCTTCATATCAGACTAAATAAGATTAGATTTTCCCTTGTACTCAAGGCTGATGCATTTCCTTGTGGACTGCAGTGTCATTTAGAAACTCTGTATGGAAGATAATCTTTTCTATGTAACATTGCAACAAATTCACTGATGACTCATTGCCTTTTTACTCTGCCTTAAAAATGTAAAAAGAAGAAGAAGAAGAAAAGATCTAAACAACAAACCTGAGCAGCCGCGTCATGGCGTGGCGGCATACGTAGTGCAGAGGTGTGTTGTGCTGGTACTGCTCTCCGTATGATGCGTTCGGGTCCAGGCTGTCCCTGAACTGAGGGTTGCCCTCATACAGCTGCCAGGCCAGCGCCTCGTCGCCGCTCACCAGCGCCTTGCGGAACTTGGTGGCCGTGTTGCCCATTGCGTCGCGCTTGCGGTGGGCCACCAACTGGGAGTCGTGGCAGATCACTCAATGCTTGCCTACGCCTCAGTCCTCCTCCTCCTCCTGTTCTGCCTCCCCCGTTCACCGCAGGTCACAATTTAAAGCAACATGGTTCTGCGTCCTCCTTCCCTGCACATAAAAGAGAGAGACAGGCAGGAGATTGATTGGAGGGAACTGCGTGACACAAGAGGAGGACCAGATTTGAGTTAAGTGGAAAGAAATGGGTTGCGAAGGTCGGGAAAAGAAGAGGGACGGGGGGAAAAAAAAGGACGGAAAGTTTGGGAGTAGAGATAAAGTGAGAGAGATAGAAGGAGAAAAGCCTCAATCAATAACTGCATCGATTGATCAGCTGATGTTCTGCAGCGAGGACATTATCTCACCAGACATAAAAGAAAACAGACAAGGAGCCAGAAAGAAAGGAAGATAAGAGAGAGGCCCAAGCTAGAAGAGTCGGTTAATGATATCTAAGTTATTGATCAGCAAGTCAGATGATGAAAAGCACTGTCAATATTACCACAGCTGGCCACTGTGAGTCTAGGGGCAAGTAGCTGCATATATTACACAGTTGATACGCTTTCCAGCCACCGAAGGCCTGAGAGTGAGTTAAGCCATGCAGCACTAAAGTACCAAGCCAAACCAGTTTTACTTTCTCTCGCAGGCGCTAAACCCAAAAACCACAACTGTGGCTGCTCCCACAGAGGAGGCTTACACAGTACAGTGATCTGAAAAAGCATCTCCGCGCTTATAGGTTTCTTCTTCTGCTTTTGGAACAGTTCTATATTTCAGACAAATAAATCTTAATAATCAGACAAATATGATCTCTGTGAATACAAAAGGTAATTTTCAAATGACGATTTTATTTATTGCAGGCGCAGGAAAAAGATATCCTGATTAATGGTAAAACCAACCTGGATTAATGGTAAAAATGGTAATCTCCCCCTAAACCGAATAAATTTGGCAGCAACCAATCGGTGTGTTTTACAACGCTTTGGAGGAATTTTGGCTAATTCTTCTTATTGGAATGGTTTTTAATTTAGCCACACTGGAGGGTATTGGAAAATGATCCACCTACTTGAACTCATACCAAAGAATCTAAAGTCAGACTTTGACTAGACCCGTGCAAAACCTTCATTTGGTTTGTTTTGAGCCCTTTGGGATAGACATGCAGATTTACTTTGGGTCATTGTCCCACTAGATGATTAAAATAAGCTTTAATTTAAGGTCAGAAAATGGTTGGCTGACATTCTCCAACAGGATTTTGTGTTTGAGAGAAGTGAGCGCACGATTCCTTCAGATTCATCAAGTCTTGATGAATCAGACGAAAAGTATTTGGGAATATAAAAATGGTTGCATTTCACATTAATGTTGATTCACAAACATTGACCTTAACTACAGCAGTTGATGCATGAAGTCCTCAAATATTTTTTGATTCTCTTGGGATTTTCTGGATGAGCCCATGTTGTTTTGGAGCAGGCCAGCCACTTCGGGGAAGGGTCGTCACAGCTCCACGTTTACTCCATCTTTGGATAATGGCGTCCAGCATGGTTTGGTGGAGTACCAAAGCCTTAGGAATGACTTTGTAAACCATTTCACACCAACAAATGTCAGTTACTCTTTTGCTCATTTGAATTTCTTTTGAAATAATTAGCACCAAGCCAAACTGCTTTTTGAGATCTTTTAGCCTTCTCCATGTTTTCAGCCAGATTCAATCTACTTACCAGTTTTGAGTGCGCTCACAAAATGTGGTCATCCCAATGATCAGTAAGGGGGAAATTACGGTTTCCACACATTGCCGGGTGGCACTAGCTTTCTTTCCTTTAATAAATGAATAGATCGTTATTTAAAGACAGCCTCTTTTTAGTCAGTCGGGTTATATTTGTTTGATATGGAAATTTGATGATCCGAAACATTTAAATGTGACAAAAGTGAAAAAGGAAATTAAATCTGTAAGGAGGGAAAATACTTTTTCACAACACTGCAAATCCTCCCATCTCTTCCCGACAACAGGAGAAACTTTTTTTTTAAATATATTGCAAAAACAACAACAATGGAGCGATGCAGCAAAAATAAAAAATAAAAAAAACAACAAACAAGCAGCATCTTTCTCTGCTCACATGTTGCATATAATCGCCGTCGTTATCAACGTGTTCTGCTTCGCTTCCTTCCTGATCCTCCCCACCTCTCCCTTTTCCTCACAAACAGCTAAGCCCGTCTTGAACGCACACGCAGCGACGTCCCGTAATGAGCGGAGTGTGTGACGAGCGCATGAGTCTGTGTGTGTGTGCTGGGCTGCCGAGGGTATCATTACAGTCTTCATTCTATGGCCATCTGTCTGGCCTTCACAAAGAGCCCCCTTTTTTAGGCTGGCTACAGTTGCCCGCTGACTGCCCGGACTTGGGAACATTTGAATAATGTGGATGAGTGCCTACTCCCCCCCGCCCCTCGCCCCCGCTCCTCTGCGCTGACAGACAGCGAAAATGTACGCTGACAGATGAGACACAAGGGTCAAACAGAAGCTGCTAAGACTGAGAATAATCCCAAAACACTTCTGGATTCTGTGTTTTCGTGTAAAACCCAAGTAGTGAAATGGGCTGCAACAGTTAATGGGTCAGTCTGTCTGCTTCCCTCCTTTCTGTGTGCACTAGTTTACTTCCAGTTCACTTCACCTCTGTGCATATATCTTGCCTGCCTCTCTTACTAAATAAGGGCAGGAAGTCTGGTCAAGAAGGAATCCTGGAATTCAAAGGATTACACTCTTCCTGTTAGTTATCTAGTGGTGTAAAATCTGAGGAAGACGTCATTTAGTGGTCAGCTGGAGCTGAAACATTTGACTAATTTCCTGTTAACTAGACGTTCGTCTTTTCAGTTTCAAATCCAATTGAGAAAGGAGGTCTGAACGATGTCGGAAAAATCCACAGTAATGAGTTTAATTTATTCCAGAGGGCTGCACAGGCCTCGTGCAAAAGGACAACTAAAACACTTAAGTTGCTTAGGAATAGTAAGAGATTACAGAGTAAGAGAAAAAAAATGTACTCAATTTATTATTTCAGAATAATAAACTTGTGAAAGACTTTACATCATAATGTGATTGATAAAATGCAGGCACTTTTGTGGACTGTGAGGGTTGGTTACCAGTATCAAAGTTTAGGTTTGAAAACAGCAAAAATGTTTCCATGTTACGGTTGTTGTTCTTTAAAGTTTTTTTAATGAGACGCCAGAGAAGTTGCCATAGTGACCAGAGTTTTTCTTGGTCGTATGCTGGGAGGAGTAGGCCTACGGCTCCCTTTCTCCATGTGTTGCTGCACACTGAAGGTAAGTTTGCTGAAATATGTTCCCCCATATTTAAAGAAAAGATGCTTAAGGTGTAAAAACGCAAATAGCACAACCCATAACTTTCGTTAGGGTAACAGAAATATGTACTTGAGAATGTGGCGGTTATACCACATTCTCACTCTTACATATCCAAAGCTTTTACAGAAAAATAAGTTATTCCTACTGCTAATGTAAAGTCTAACATTCTGTTGGTTAAATGCAATAAATAAATGTTAGAAATACATTCTGTTTTTTTTTTATGTTTATACATTAACATAACATTTCACTGTGCAAGTAATGTTAAGCTGATTTTAGCTGGTTAATTAGTCGGGCCTATTTACTCAGGCATGCAGCTGGCTGCTTAACAGACATGTCGATTGCAGCCTGCCATAAAAACCAACACTCGCCCTCTGCAATGCACAGCGTACAGTAACACCAGCGTATCAGAAGCAGCATTGCTTTCTACAGAAATAATTTGGGTTATATGTTTGAATGAGACCACAAAGGCCAGCCTTTACGCCTCGACATGCATCAGCATCACCGTTTCCCTGTTGCTAGTTCACTAATGCTACTTCCTTGACCCACTTATGACAGATAATGTCCACTGCAGGCTGGGAATACGTACTTCAGAAGTGCTGCAGTTTTGCTGACTGTCTGACTAATTCATCTTGCCAACTTGGCTCTTGTCAACCTCACTCAAATGCTTGCCAATTTCTTTTTCCTGTTTCTAACAAATCAACTTTGAGAGCACAATGCCCAATTGCTGCCTTATAGATCCCAACTGCATAGTAATGTCAGTTCCTAAGTGGTGTGAAACTAATAAGTACTTTGGTTTCCAAGACTGGACTGTCTATGTTGTTATCAAGTGGAAACATCTACAAACAAGAGTTTGTCTTTTCTGTAAGCAAAGCAAACCTTTCTCTCAGTAAGCTAAAAAGCAAAATGCAGCAATAGGCGGGGGAGGGAGAGGTCTGTGTAAATACAGGTTGTGTATGGCTAAAGAAAACTCTGATCACTCCAGTTCTTTCTCAGGTTTCCCATTATAAAGACTTTTATTTCAATTATAGCAGCATTGAAACTGTAACTTAATAAAACCTTGGTGTTCCTTAATACCTGAAAGCTCCCAAGGTATAGGAATAATTCATCCTTTATTAACTAACAATACATTTATTCAAGGTTTTTATGTGCTCATACAATAACACAACATTGACGTGTGATTTTGATTTTAAGATATAGTTAGGAGAATAACAAGTCACTCTTAGTGAGATCAATAAATACATCAATAACAACTGCAGGAGGATGAACGGCTCTTATCATCTGATACACATTAACTTAGTTGAAGTAGGGATTGTTCCGCTGCTGCTATATAAAGTGCTGTAGGACAATGTCTGTTTGCCCAAACAGACATAAAACTTGTTGGAGTCGGACACAGAAGCAGCTGTGATGACACACAGAGCGACTTTTAGGGAAATTAGATAGGTCACAGTGTATCAGTTAAATATCCAGGTCAGACCTCGGGTGGTTATCCTCCGAAGTGTGTCAGCATGAAATGGAGCACCAAACAAACAACAGCCGACTTCTCTCTGCATGTGTTTGTCCATGCGGCCCCTCGGTCTCCCCCCGCCGCCTAAACGCTCCTTTGTTTCAACCCGCTGACAGTTTGTATGAATCACCAACCAAACAACGGCAAGGTAAAATACATACTGCGAGTTATGAGCTTCAGCTTCGCTCTAACCTGTTTTCAGAGAGAGTGTTGTGGTGAGAAACGTTACCACCCAAAAACCAGCAGCCTACCTCCGTGTTGTTACCGCGGCTAGCCAGCTGTCTCTCCGTATTTCTTCTTCGGTTAAACGTTAGCGGTTTGTGTTAGCTCCAACTACCAACACTACAGCTGGACTGCGTCTACTTACACGTTTGGAAACTGGCAGGCATCAACAGCCATCGTCTTACAAATGTCATTCACTTCTCCGGCTCCCGTTTCGCTCAACCATCCTCTCAGCCAGCGGACCCCGGCGGAGGACGATAGTGAAGATGCTGCTGACAGCGTAGAGGCGACACGGACTCTGCTCCAGCTTCACTTTGTTGTTGCTAACACAGAACAGACCGGATACAGTGCGCAGGCGCAGTTCTGAGAACGCTCTCCACTCCGCCCCCCCAGCACAAGTGACGCAATTGTTGACGTATCGCTCTGGGGTTCCGCCCACTGACAGAGGCAAACAGACCGCTGACGAAATTACACCAGATTTTAAGGGGAACAGGACAAAAGCTATTTTTACTGCGGCGTTGATTAACATTTATACCAAACATTGAGGGAGTTGTTTAACAATTTTCACAAAGTAAAGAGAACAAAGTCGTCTTCTTCGTCTGTAAATTTTAATCGCAGTGTATTAGCGCCATCTGCTGTACTGAGGTGTAATCCATTAAATAATAAAATCACTTATTTACACTTGCAACAAAAAACAAACAAAATTAAACCTTCTCATTTAATTGTGTATCCTTTTGATGAATTATAGAATATGATTCAAGTTTAATTGATAGTAGTCTTACATTCATAAAATTAAATCATCCAACTTTTTATAGAGCCTTTTCCATCAGATGTAGCAACTGGTTACAATTACTCTTAACATTTTGAATGATATCTACTTTGGCTCAGTGTATTACAGTGTAGTTTTACCAGTAATATTTCTTAATATTTTGAAGTACTGCCAATCTTACGAAAAGTTTCTAGCTATTCTCACCACTATCAGTAACTTCACTCAATGAAGAACGAGCATATTGTAACAAAAATGCATCACGCATAGACACACACCTAAAGTTTATATTAGAGTGAGATTTTTATTTTTACACAAACTTTCTGGTTCTATTGGTATTTTCTATCTCCTGAGCTTGTTGTGCCAAGTTAAGTGAAAATACAGTAAACAGGATATATTGTCACTGGAAATACTTCATTCTGTTCTAACATACATGTACCTTAACTACTGTAAGTATTGGTTTCATGAATATATTTGAAAATATATCTAAATATAATAAATCTCTTTACAATGTGAAGAATTAACAGCAGACAAATATACAAGTATTTTTTGTTAAAACATCCCCATTGCCAACATTATCAAACTTTGTGGAACATCTGACAAAAAAAGGAAAAAACTCCCACTTGCATAGATATATTTAGATTACTTTAATTGAATGATAAAAAAGTACAGATCATTATAAAATAAGGTGAAATATTTTTATCATAAATGCACAAGTATCAAATGTACAATATGTTTACCGTAACTAAACAAAACAATTACCAAAGTAATTTTAATTTTTACAAAAGCTAATTTTTGGTCCCAGCATCACGTCAAACTTTATCTGACATATTTACAACCTCAAAATGTCAAGGATAAGGTCTCCCAAAACCAAGAACGATGGAATGTCTCTCTTTTCACTCATCCTCCAGACAGCAAATGCCCAGGTGGCAGGCCTCACACAGTGCTGCCTCATGGGGCTTGGTCCACACTTTAGCAGAGGATGTCGAAGAACCATCGTCGCTTTCCTCCTCTCCGTAGCAATTTTTGCGGATTTTGGAAAAAAGCCTGAGCAAAGCATGTTCCACATCTTTCCTGTTGAAACCTGGAAGATCATATTCCCCGTCCTGACAACGACGACAAGCTTGGCCAAAAGGTCGCATTATCACCGTCCCCCGGCCGTTTCGCACCCGGTAGCGGAACAGCACCACCGCTCGAGCCGAACGCCAGGTCTTACGACAAGCTCCGCACTGGAACCTGGGGAAAGTCAGATGATGAATGCAGACTTTAGACGGATATTCAACAAAGCTTTTTATCAGGTTTTAAATGGTGCTTCTAAACTTTACACCATATTCCCTCTGAAAAAGAGTACGTTTCTGGATAACATCTATAGATAAATCACATCCTGTACAAAATGAACAACTTACACAGTTTCTGTGCCCCCCTCAAAAGAATCATACTGCCAGTATAAAATGCTTCCTCATATAACTTGAATAGTAATCGCAACTAAAAACTAGACAGAACATCAAATGTCCACGATTGGCACATTAATATCTTAGTATAAAACAAAAAACATAAGAAAAGCACAATACGTACTTTCCAAAGGCACAATGGGAATACACCTTCCAGCCTCTCTTCCTCTCTTGTTTGGTGATTTCGTTTGTTTGGGTGTAGTTAAAGTTTAGATTCCACTCGTCTCCGTAGTCCAGCTCATTGTCATCATAAAGCAGCTCATCAAATATATCCAGCCAGAAAGACGGAGTCCAACCTGTCATACAAACTTTTCACATTAATATGTTTTGCTCGTTTCTTTTTTGAATGAACTTTGTTGAAACAGCTAATAACACAATATTAATTTTTCTGAAAAAAGTAATAATAGACAGGTAATAATAGACAGACTCAATAAAGAAAGAAACTTTTTAAGACTTCTTAACCGTTTCCTACAGCACTTTCTCCTTTCACTCAACTTTCCATTATATGGTTTGACAGAAAACCATGCAGGTTGCTGAAACCTCCTTTGGACATAAATGGTAAAACTTTCTGTATTTAAAAGGCATTTTAATTTGTCTCGCAACATTCTAATGTTCTGAGACATTAAAATGTTATAGTTGTTCTATTTATGATCTCAATTTAAAAATTTTTGCACTGACTTTTCAGTGGTGTATGAAATAATGCGAGAAGCCCATAAATACGACTACGTGCAAATTTGGCACCTTCTTTCAGCTGACATCTGACCACAAGGGGTCGCATTTGACCCAATTGTTTATTCTAGCCGAGCCATGAGAGTTCGCCTTCTTATAAAATATTCTTTTATGAGATTTTTTACAGGCCAAGTTATCATATGATGTTTCTGTTTCCTCGATGCGAGTCACTATTATGGGTTTTTATTAAGTCGAAAAGCTTTGTTTTTCAGTGGAACTCTGTCTTCAAGCTTCTCCTTTAATTTATGTTATGCTTTTTGTTATGACCTCAACTTACACATAGATCTTAACTTCAACTTAATAGGATCATTATAGTAATTAAGTCAGCGTCCAATACGATTTTCAAAACAAAGCAACGCACTTGTTTCTGGAATAAAAAATAAATAAACAGAGTCGCGGTAAACTACAAGGACAATCCTGCATGTATAATATATGTGTGTGTGAAAAAAAAGGCATTACCTGTTGGTGTGCTCATTTTTGCTTTATTTTCTGTCGCCTGTAGATCCGCAGAAACGCTGAAGCGGTGATTGTCCTCTGAATGTTGCTCTGCAGACTGCCGCGTTACTTATATACGACAGAATCAGCTGTAGTCAGGAAAACGAAACTTACGAGTCATTTTCGCTTTCCCTGCCATGGAAATGGGTTATCAACAACAAACACCACCAGTAAGTTTCTGTTGGCACTAAGAAGGGAGTTGTCATATCAGCGGTGGAGAAATATTGCATCATTTTTTTTTTTGCTGTTTGTCTCCAACGCACATCAGATGAAAGGTTCAAGAACAGGCCGACTGCTGATAGTCAGCTTTGATTCAGGTGTGTTGTAGTAGGAACGCGTGTAAGAGTTACAGGGTGCACAGCAAATTTAAACGTGTTAGATTTCCAGTGTTGGTGTTGTATGTTAAAAGTACAGTGCTAATTAAACACTTGTTTAGTCTAATTCAACAACATGAGTGTTAGTTTCCCTAAACAGAGTTACATTTAAGCAGCTCTGTCTGGCGTTGATTATGAAACCAGACAGCGCTGCTCCCACAATTGTAACGTATCTGTGACGTCACGTGTTTGCTCGAGGAGCGGAGGCAGCATTATGGCGTCTTGTCTGGAGCTTAATAATGAACACATTCATAGTGTTAACTTTTGACACTACACACTAGTCTTAGGTAAATCAACACGGACGTGTGTTAAATTGCAACTACTGAGAGTGTTGATTCAACTCTATCACAAATAAGACTTTCAATGGTGTTATTTTGACACGATCAAGAGTGGACACATTCACACTGCAGCCTGAAGTGACTCAATTCCGATTTTTTGGCAATTCCGATTTTTTTTTTGCCGGGCCCGTTCACACTGCCAGTAAATGCGACCTGTATGCGTTCTGCAGTGTAAACGGGCAAACGACCTGAAAGTGTCCCGCATGCGCAGTAGAGGGCGCAATAGCGTCAGCGTTCTAAGTGTTCTGCCGCCATAAAAAGAAGAAGTGCTCAGTGTTTGCGGAAGTAAACATGGAGGCTAACGGTGGAGCTTAGTTTACACATTTGAAGTTGTTGTCCGGCTGGAGCAGCATATTAACAACTTAATCCTCATATAATCCGTCATCGTTGTTGTTTTTCTTCCCACTTGCGCTTATCAGGACGCAGAATAGTGAGATTTGTTGAGAATCAGTGATGTTCAGTTCGGATGAATGCGACCTGGAAGTTAGGTCGCATTTGAATCGTGTCGGATATGGGTCACATTCGAAAAAGAATCCGACCTGTGCTGTTCACACTGCCATGAAAAGATCGGATACAGGTCGCATTGCGTCAAAAAAATCGGAATTGAGTCACTTCAGGCTGCAGTGTGAACGCACCTATAAGTGTTGAATTCAACTCTCTAGGAATTCAGTTCAACACTTCCAAATTTGCTGTGTGGACTTGGGCACCACTTATGTAGATAATTATTAAAATAGAAACACATTAAAGTTTAGAACAATGCAAACATTTAAAGTAAAAAAAAAGAGAGCAAATATCGTAAATAATTAAACATAATTGATGTTTGATAGCTGTACTGTGCTTTTCAACAACATAACAACAATAATAAAATAATAGTAATTGAAAATTTTTAAAACATTATTATTACTTCAGTTGTGTTTTTTTTTTTTTGGAAATGTATTTTGTTGTCATGTTGTAAAAACACATTCTGATGCAGTACAATGATTAAAAGTTATTTTGTGGATGAGATGAGAGAACCTCCTTGCCAAAATTCCCGGATTCACTGAAATTTTTATTTTTATTCAAATCAAACTTCGGTGTCGTGTATAAAACTTTGTGGGAAACTACGCTGCTGTAATTTGACAGTAAATTTGCTGTCTGGCTCCGTCCAGTAGATGGTGCTGTAGCACCACATTTTTCATTAGATTGTAGCAGAGTCTCTTGTTGCATCTATTGAAAAAGGTCAGCATCATTATTTCTTGTGAGTCACATCAGCTTTAATCGCAAATAAATACCCAGCTACGGCATTCACTCGGTGGAAAATTAGAAGCTTATTGAAACAAACATTAATCAGACATTCTCATAAATGATCCACCTGCTAAACTGGATCAAAACATGTTAGTCATTTGTATCTTGTGAGAAAATACGGCTTCATTCATGCTTCAAAAAATTTTAAATCCTAACTAAAGCACGTACAAGAGAAAAACTGAGTTTCAATCTGCTCATAAGGATTGGACTGTTGGATAAAATGGTCAGCAATGATGAAGAGTCATTCTAAAAAGAATGAATTGTGTGTTTTCAGACTTTTAAACGAGATGGTTCATGTCAAACAGTTTTATGAGTCCTACTGTGGGATCGAGTTTCAGCTTATTTATCAGCTTGTTCTTTTCCGGGAGGCAGATGAGGATGACTGCCTGCATGTTTTGACCTCTATCAGCATCCATTTGCTGACCTACAGTTTCCTTTGACAACCCATAATTAACAACACATCAGAAAAGTTTGTGGTACAAACACGTCTGTGTATTTGTAAATCTGAGGTGCTTTTGAAGTCACAACCTGTCCAATGACTTAACTGGTTTGTTTAAAAGTTTTTTTTGGTTTTTTTTTGTAGTTCTCCTTGAGTTTTTGTTAATCTTCCTTTGTGTCAGTCTTCCTCACTTAGTTTGGATGTTTTTATGACCACAGCTGTGCCACATTACCTCTAATTAGTTCACCTGCTTCCTTTATCATTTCTTCCATTAGAGACTGTCTGTTTCACTCACAACAGTTTAACGTCCTGTTACTTTTGTAAGCTTTTGTTTCTCATTATTAAAAACTCTCCACGTTGTCTTCCTGCCTCTGTTTCAGACTGGAAACCAAAACACAACAAATAACTTTCACGGCGAGTCACTGGATGTGCTATGTACCGTCTTTATTTACCGTCTGATTTTATCAGGCAGACTTTGTGGAAGTTGTGCGTGTAGTTTCCCAATAATCATTATTATCGGTTCGTGCGCTGACGTAACAATAGCACCGGAGTGACAACACCTGTTTGTAGGTATGCAGTGATGGCACAGTGGCGTTTTTTTTTTTTACCCTCCTCTTGGACACAAAACATACCACGCACAATTATTTATGAAAGACAAATGAAAACTTACTGTGCACTACTGGGACTTTTCTAATAACTGGGCTGCTTGCTTCTTACAACAAAACTCCACCCAGAGCTAAAAACACATCCAGTGCTTGAGACAGGCCCCGAGCTACGATTACAGCAGTAAACATGTACAGACGTTCATGTGACAATAACGCACACTTGCAGGTTTGTCAGGATCATGACACAAAACTCATGTGGAAGTACTTGACAGAGATTATTTTAGGCAGTACTTTAGATTCAGCTCACTTAATTGTAGGCATTTGCTTTCTGACCAATGTATTTTATACACAAAATATATATTTTAAATTGGCTAACTTGTAGTAGTGATAATCATTTTTTAATGACAAATAACGATTTCTTTTAAAAGTAATTATTTTTAAAAAAAATAGCACATTGCCAGTGTTTCTCAATGCAAACTAAAGAAAAGGATATAAACCTGACATATTGTTTCTGTAATTCAGCGTCACGTTGAATCAGTTGCGACCGGCGCCACTTTTACAGCTTTTATGGGCCTGCGAAAGAAACGTGTGCGTATGCATCTTTCCGGCCACCACCGTAGTGCAAAACCGACCTCGAAGCGTCAGGCTCCTGGGAGTCACCTTATACACAGGTGTGACATTACAGCGTGAGAAAAGCATGCTGGGAGAGCTCGCAGAGACAGAGACAAAGAAGCAGATACAGGAGACTTGCAGAGTAACTTCATTGTGCTTGCTGCTCAACATTCGCCAAGTATCTCCTCGCTGACACCAGAACGCGCAGATTAAATCTGCCCTGGAACAAAAGCGATGTCAGCAGTGGAGATGAATAAAAGTATTCAGAGAGAGGTGTGACGGTAATGTAATTTGGAACTGGCTGGTTTTCCCTGAATGCCGATTCACTCAGCAACAGACTGACCCTGTTTCGACATGAACACTCTTATTTTACTCTCTTTTGTGGCTCTGACAGAACAGATGCACATTTAGCCTCTAATTCATTGCCCATCAAGAGAGGAAGAGCGCTGCAGAGTTGATCACCCTTTGATTAGAATTGGTTAACTCCATTCAAAGTGCTGGATGAGTGAAATTTGGAGGTTTTATATCTCCCTTGCCATCCTTCTCACTGTGTGTGGCGACAACGCAAACTTAGCCTCTCCGGCGTTGCTTCTCACTGTTTAAATAGTTTAAATTTCTTAGTCATTCTTCTGACAGTAAATCCAGACAGGTTTAGATGAGCAACTGGTTTCTTGTTGCCATTTCCTGACTTGTGAACACATTCACACATCTGCCTTACCAAAATGGCAGGATTTATTGTCTTCCCCATTTTTAATGGCAGCTGAGAGAAACAAGCCTTTCTGTGTAAATGCAAAAAAATCCTGCATCTTTACCCCCAAACGTGTGCAAGATGTCCCTACAGAGGCCCACAACACTTTCTAGATTTTTATTTGTAACAAATAAAACCAATATATAATTTTTGTGCAACGTCCTAAATTGTGTACAACTTTGTTTGCGTCTATCACATGCGGAAAGGTTTAAGTGTTATGATTTGTTTTGCAAGGCACTTTTCAATTAAATTAGGGCGAACTTCTGTCTAACATCCATCCATTCAGATAAAAGAATTTGACATTGCATATTCCTATTTCATAACTTAGAAAAATGCAATGCAATTCATTTCCCGTTCTCTAAAGATGGCATTTTCCAAATGCATTTCTCAATCAGACGGCCCTCTAGTGACGCCAGGGATCATCAGCCAGGTGTGCAGGCCAAGCTTTCTCTCTGTTCCAGAACTGCACACCCGCTGACAGGCTGCCAGGTGAGTCAGCGAGGGCGGGGTCGGGCTGAGAGAGGCTGAGCGATGGAGGGAGAGTAAATTTGAAAGACTTAGCGAGAGATAAAGTGGGGGCAGGGAGGGAGTGAGGCATAAGAGGTTGGGTGTGGTAAGATGCCTTAAGCACATTCCTCATTGCAACCGCACCCAGTGTTTCTGCGTCTTTCTACCTGCCAGTGTTTGCTTTCAGTACTAATTCCAGTATGCAGAAAGTATCTGTACTTTCTCTCTCTTTTCTCGCTTCATTCCTCTCTGTGTTCTGCGTGTTTCCTTCCCCCTCACTTTCAGCTGCAGCATGTGGCACGCCATCGCCACAGCTGTATGCTAAACGCTCCCGCGCTCTCACTCCTCACATTTCACGTTGACGCTACATTAACAAGGCAAGTGCAAACACAAAAGGTGAGAGCTCAGAAACATGGCCTCCACGGTTTGTGAGTCTCTCTCTCTCTCTGTGTGTGTGTGTGTGTGATATCAGGTCATGGATGGTTAGGCAGACAATCTGACAAGAGCCACTCCCTTTGGAGCCGAACATACAGTCATAGCCATCAAACAAGGTGTGTCCGATGCACTGAACACGTTTCGGGGCAAAGGACAGCCCATATAACTGCAAACACAAACAGAAGCTGACTGGTGTATAGATTTGTCTCTATTGCAACCCGTGTCGATATCAATATTGCCTCTTTTCAGGTGAACCTTGCATTCTTTCATGTCAACACCGCCAGCATAAAGCAAAAGGTGTGAGAAAACTGAGCTGAAGCAACGTCGGGCTTAAAGAAGCGTTTACATAAGGCATGTGCAGCGGCATGCTTTAGGAGGTCCGACCTTCTCCGAGGAGATAAAATGAGACATGACAGCATGCCGTGGTGAGACTAGCTTTAAGGAGCTTTCTATAGAGAAGGGGGAAATGATCATAGAGTCTGTTGATTCAGCCTCGGTGATTCACCATGGAGAAAAACAATAGCTGATCCACTGACACTATGTTTCACATAGAAACATGGAGTCCAAAGAAAACACATGGATGTTTAATCTAATTTATGCGCCGTTAATAAAGGTTATTGGTACAAGAGTAACAGATCACGCTCTAGAAAGTAATAGATTTATTGTAATGCTGCATGAACTTATACCGATAGCTGTCACAATTAGCAGTGTTTCCAAGAATATCTCATGGAAATCGGAATAATTTAGGTAACTGTAGAGAATAAAAAAACAAAACAAAATGAGACATGATAGAAAGTCACAGGTTAAATAGACATCATTATGTCCAGTTAAACAAGGAGATAATCACATTATAATGACAGTTTTTTTTTTTTTTTTTTTTTTTTTTTATCAGTTAGCGGCTGGTCTTTTTATCTTTCACAACAATTCTGGCAGTAAACAAGCAATCCGCAATCATTCTTACATTTAATTTTGTTTTCAACCCCCCAACTTGGTTTTTCCACGAATGTCAGGTATTGACTACAACCCTGGGAGGCAGTTCAATACACACCGTTTGTAAAGACATGTAAAAAGCTCAAAATAACTGCCTTGCAGAAACAAAATGTTACACTGAATATGTTCCTGTAGTTCTGGCAGTGAGGTTTTTTTTTTATTATGTTTTCTTATTTAGAAAGTACAAACGAGTTTAAAGCACCGTTTGTCTACAATTACCATAAAAGTAACTAAACCGATGGGTAAAACAGTAAATGAGAATTGTGACATCTTATGTTCGTTACCTAATAATAATAATAATAATAATAATAATAATAATAATAAAATACTTATAGGTGTTATATACTGAGCTCAGGGTTCCTACACAGGAGTGTGAATCTTTCCACCTCTTGTCTCATAATAAAAGCCAGCTTCTCCCTCACATAAATATTGCAAACTGACAGTGAGATTTGGAGAGGTTTAATTATCTCCTGTGCCACACCGCTCACTGTGGGTGGCAGAAAGATTCAGCTGGTTCCAGCCTCGCTGTGGGCAAGTTTACACAAGTAGCTAGTTTTTTTTGTTGCCATATTTAGACTTAAAGATTTCCATGCATCTATTTTTATTTAATTTTATGTTCTTTTGAAGAGTAATATAAATAATATACTCATTCTGGTCACTTTAAAAATATAAAATAAATATTCTTAGCAATGCCACAAATTCTGACAGATTTGGTGAAAAATGAAGGTATTCAATTTTATTTTAAGAGCTTTGTACACATGGAGAGTGTTGAACTGAGTAACAATCTATATGATCTCTGAAAAGACTTCTGGAAATCAGGTTCAGTATGAGATATCACATCAAGACACAGAAACATTAGCAAAAACTTTACAATGAGTAGAAATGAAAATACAAACATGTTACCAGCTGTAAAATGTAAAGATCATACTGTGGTCTGTCTGCTGAATTTAGAAGTTATTTTTGAAGAGGGAAAAGTTGGATCGTCCGAGTTGTGATCGGTTCAAATTAAAATCATTATTCATAAGCATCCATGTCATTTCAAATTAGGTCTTGCTTGTTTGAGGAAAAATGCTAAACACAAGATGAAATTTAGCAGATATAACAGTCGAGATCAGCATCTACAAACCTTATATGACAAAAAAATTACCCAAGACCTGCTCTGAAGTGATGGGCAGCTGAATTTCTACATAAAAAAAAATATTTTTATACCTTTCTGATCAAATAAAAAATTGTAAAGTAGGTGGATGCTCTAGTGTTTGGCTACATTTTTAAAGGAAATACTTCAGTAAGCAACGAGACAACTTGTACCAGCCACATAATCTTCTTGGCACGTTGAAGTCATTCTGAGTTCCTAAATATTTACGACCAGCTGTTAAATAAGAAAGTAGTGCAACTTGGTGGTTACCAAAAGCTGTCTGCTGAAAAAAGGTGTAAAGAAGCTAATAGAGCCACTAACTAAACTAGTTTGGTTGCAATTATTTTTGGCAGTTTTTTTAAATAATAATTAATAGGTCCCTTTATTTAATCTTTTATTCATCATCCGTCCATCCACATGTCTCTCTACCAATCTATTTTCTCATCATTAATTATTCAACCACAGATTTTTCCATCTTTCGTCCATTCATCCATCTACGTACTTTATGAACCATTCATAGTCCATCATCCAATCCATTTACCATCTTTTCATTTATCCATCCATCCTTCCAAATGTTGCTAAACGTATCACATTTTTACAGCTTAAAAGTAGCAGAAACCTACCACAAATTCACTGTGAATTTTGGATTTGTTGTTTTAAACTGGCTCTAATATAATGACAACTGTCAAAATTCAAAATTATTATATTTTATTGAATCCTATTTTCATGCAGACTTGCAAACTTCACAATTTTGTTTGCATTTCAATAAACTTTTTTTTAAAATAAATAAAGTACAAAAGAAAGAAGAGTGGCTCAAGACTTTTTGGTAATGATTCAATGGTGGAACTACGAATATGTTGTATGTGTATTTAAGTTATTGCCAAAGAGAACCGACGAGATTGAGTTATTTAGTCATTACATTGAGTTCTCAAACTAACACGCAAAGTTTGAAACGAGTGTTCGACGAGTTAAAGGTCAGATCCTTGAAAGAGCTGATAAAACGCAGGATCCATGTCACTAAGCCCACTTTTGAAACAAAGCACAAGGAGCAAACTTCCAATGGTGTGGAGTCTCTGTCGCTTTGGGAGGAGTCTCACCGGGGTGAAAGCCCTTCCTATCAACATTCACTCCTGTCCTTCCTCATTCACTGCGCGGATCTACAGCAACTCTGCCGCGGCGGCTCCGGAGGATCACCCACCGCCGAGAGGAGCTCTCAGCCCGGGCAGCGAGTACGTGGTCACAGCGCACGCTCCGGAGAGGGGCGGTTTGGGTGGAGCTGCTGTCCGATCTATGGAATGTGACACTCGAACGAGAAAGGAGGCCCGAGTCGGTGGATTGAAGTCGATACAAAGACGAGAGAGGGAACAAGTTGTGCTGCTAGTGAGGAGGTACGGACTGGAAAACGGTGCCATTTGGGTCAAAGCAACTATTTACATGGAGTGGCTACAATACTCTAACTATACCATCTCTACCTATACTATCCGCTATATTCTGTTCTCTCTAAATCGTATTACTTTTTTCCAACTTTAACTTTTACTCTGGCTTTTTTTGTTTCTCTTCCATTTTTATTTTATGCAAGCAGAATAAACGTGAACTGGAGCTAACTGTCCGCAACAACAGTCTGCAGTTTCTAGAGGTTTTAAGTCATTCAGGTAGCTGCTGTGCATTGCAAAACCTGAGCAGTATTGGTACAGTCTGATCTGACACAAGGCTCAGTGTTGCCCGTTACCAACACACTGCGCTGTTCTTTCATCCAGGCCACTGAAGGCAGAAAAAAACAACAACAAACTTGTAGAAATAGCATGACTCCTCTCCTATTTAGCATGCATACGCTGTAGGAGAAGCAACACTAGAGGCGGTGGAAAGCTGTTAACATTATGCACTTATGCACTTATAAAAGATATTTCCAGTAATCAGTTTTGCAACTCCTTTTTATCAATTTCTATTTAGAAGTTATAAACCCAGCCAGCATGCCTAGGTGGGCCCCATGTGGGGACAAGGAGGGCAGACTATATGGGTCCCATATGGGTTTGTCCGCGGGTTCCACGATGGCCCCACATGGGTTTGCCCATGTAGGGCCACAGCCCACATGGGCGCTACATGGGCCCTAATTGGACAAAACCCATGTGGGCCACCACCATATAGGGCCCATGCAGGGCCCATGTGGGCTCTGGCCCTACATGGGCAAACCCATGTGGGGCCATCGCGGACTATATGGGTCCCCAGACTATATGGGATCCATATAGTCTGCCCTCCTTGTCCCCACATGGGGCCCACCTAGGCATGCTGGCTGGGAAATAAGGCTATTATCTTCCTACTTTCCAGATCAACTGAAAATGAGAAAACAAAGGTCAAAGTCAGAGCTGCCTTTGTCTGCATTACAATCTACAAAACAGTCAAATCCTCCTGGTTGAAGGACAAAAGTACCTATAAATAAAACCCAACTAAGAATAATCACACAATATACTATAGCTCTCTAACTTAATATTTAAGAAGAAAAGCTGATTTTCTTTTGCGTTAGATTCTTAAATCATTAATTTATCGCAACTACAGGAACCTTCATTAATCCATCATAATTCACTTTAGGACCAGAGCACCATGTGTTTGAGAGAGCAGTCAGCTTCACACAGCTGTGCAGCTCAGCAGGACTTCACTATAATATCAATAGAAAAACAAAATGACCAATGTTGATATTTTAAACTGTCTTTAGCATCTTATTTTTAGTGCTCTTAACATTACTAATAGCTGTTCTGTTGTGTATTTCCCTACAAGAGAAGCAGCATTTCCGTGTGAAACACTTTCCATCCTGGACAAAGTTGGATTCCGCTAAAGGATAAAATAGGTCAGCTTTGTGGTAACACGTTCAGCTTCCTGGTATATTCTGGTAATTTGTGTTAGATTGACTGAAGTGACGACATGCCTCTGTAGACAATAGTTTTCTTCTAACTTCATTTTGAAAAACCTCATTGATGCTGAAAATAACCGCGTCTTCTGCATTCTGTAATGACTTCCTCACCGGAGAGGGTTATCGGTAATACTAGAGCGGGAAAAAACATTGGGTTTTTAGTTGGTTACCGAATTTTTATTAACCGAACAGAGGCAGGAAATCTGAAATTTCCGTCACGAGCCCTTTTCTCAGTGCATCTCTAAATAAGCAGATACATTTTATTAGGGTGTCTCATAGCCTGTTTGAACAATGCTTTGGTGTTCTTTGTGATGGGCTTAGCAGAGATTCCAACCTTTTGATTATAGAGCCCTTTCTGTTGAGCAAGGAAGACTGGTTTGCAGACTCCAGTAGTAGTTTAACTGCGTGCACATAACCGTTCAGTTTTATAGCTTTTATCCTCGATCCAGTCGGAGTGAGTCACTGTGCAGGAATAGCCTGAACATGTGGTTGTAATTTTGAGTTAAAAAAGCTCTGACATGCCAGCTCTCTTCAGTGTGTGCGTGCCTTAATTTAATCTTGTCACATTTCCAACACGGCAGTAGTTGTATCTCATTCATTAGTGCGTTCTCTTTCACGTGTGTCAAAAAAAAAGGTTGAAGTATATTTACTGTTTATTTTTGAGGGCTAATGTGCTTTAGGAAGAGACGAGCTGGAAAAACAGAAATACTTTAATGCGTTGGCTGCTAAGTTTTCCATTCAAGCTGACCGCAGGCCTGAAGGCAGTTGGAACAGATGAGGCACTTCAGAGGACCTGTTTTTCTAGCCTAAAACGGGATGGGATGCGAGCCTCTGAGTGCTGTCACATTCAATACGTGCTCATCTGTCTTTGAGCCGTCTTTTGTGCTCCACTCATCAGCCGCGTTGAGGTGTGATGATCTGCAGAGAGACAAAAGAGGCACTGTGTGGATTTATCTCAGTTTGTGTGCATTACTCCGACAACAATGGAAAAACTGCGGCGTCCCGAAACGAGCAGCAGAACTCCACAGCTTCCAAAACCTGTTCTCAGGTATTCTGCTCTTGCTCCGTTTGCGACGAGTTATAACACCTGGAATGAACATGCCGGATCAAACCCTGTGTTTGCTTAGCGAGGCGTGTTCAGGTAGAGAGCGATACTTCTTGAGAGTTCGCATCTCCTCAACCTTTGTTTAACTCACTCTCTGCCGTCAGGACCGGCTCAATTTAGTGGTTTGTTTTTGTAATCTCATGCAGGGATGTTGAAAATGAACCACTGGCACATTAGCAGTGTCTGCTGCAGTGTTTTGCTGCAGGTTTTGTGTTTCACCCCAGCTTTGTTTACGGTACATTTGCGTTTGGCTTTGCCTCATGTGGAAAAGCTTCTTACCTGAAGCAGAAATACAGAATCCCAGATGTTAGTGCTCACGTCTGTTGCCATAGCAGCAAACAAAGCACTGGTATCTGTTTTGATATCCTACCTGTCACAGCTCCTGTCCTCCACCGCCTCTTCCTGCAGTGATCCACAGGTGAGCAGGGTGAAGAAGAAACCACCATGCTCTGTTTGATATCTGTGTTTGATTCAGGCTCTTACCTCATAACCACCTCTGGGCTAAAACCATTCAGCTTTACTGCCAGAAATTTTAATAAACTGATGATTAATGAAAATGCTTAGTCGTGCAAAACGAGTTCCTTTAAAGATCTTAAATTCTTGGAAACAAAAATGTGTCTACTGCAAAGTAGTTTTAGCCTGTTTGTTAATTTAGTACATGGATTAAATTCATGTTCATGTCTATTGAAATGGCTGCATAATAAAGACCATCTCCCACATTGTTTTCCACTGGATTTTAGAAAATTTTGCATCTAAGAAACAACAGGAAAAATTAACAACAGAGATCTTTGAATTGACTAAAAGAAAAAAAAACATTTAGACGATGCAAAAATCCACAATGGCATAGTTACACAGTAACTGTTAATACGTGTACCAAGGTTTCAATATCCCTAACCTTTTCCAACATGCTACACCTGCAGTTCATATTTTTTTATAAGTGACTGGAGTTTTCTCCTGCTGTGTGTAGCAAAGTCTGCAGACTGGTGGAGTGTTGCACCCCTAAAAAAACAAGCTGTTGCTGTACAATATTCTCCAGGCTGGAACAAATCTGTTATTATTTGTCTTTGCTTACAACAAAGAAAATATGAACAGTTATGTTGTGAAAAACAGACCCTTTATTAAAAAATGTTGTTCAAAAGTACAACTGGCAGGCTCAAATCGACATGTCTATGAAGAGGCTGACTGCAGACTAGCTAACTGAGAAGGTTGTACAATTTTCTAATATCAACTTGATGCACTTGTGTTACTCTATAAAAATGAAAAGGTAGAAAAGTGAGACGAATATTCTCCCCATTAAGCAATTGAAAACTATGATACAATTTAAGTGAGCATTTATTTTGTTTTATATTTTTTGCTAAGGTCTATGCTAATTGTCAGAATCAAATGTTGCATTATTTCAGCACAAATAATTTCGGTAGTTTTTAAAATCAAAGTACTGTTGTACTGTACTGCTTTATCAAAGTATGTAGACAATGTTACACATTTTTGTTTTAAATTTTTGTACTAATACATGTTTGTTATTATGTAAGAAATCTATTACCAGCCAATGCCTATATAAAAAATTTAATCATCATTCAAATGACTACAAAAACTTTATTTAGGGTAAATGGATCAATTCAATTTAAACCCGCACTTTTACTTTTTCTACTTGTAGTCAATAGAAATTTTAGCAAGTATTGCATAACCTATAGCAAGTATTACATAACCTATTTTTTATTATTTTTTTATCACTCTTCTGTTTAAATACAAATTACATCATAACTTCATGATACAACTTTAATTTTTTAGATGTTACGGTGCATTCGGTGAATAACAAAAATGTTAAAACATATGATTACTTGATAATAATGATAAAAAAGGTAACTGAATACAATGTCTGCAACAATACCTGTAATATGAGGGTGCTGACAGCTAGTTTAAGGCTGTTATGTTACATAACACGGTTGTTAATTTGAAGTTTGCACACTCCAAGCATGACAGTTTTTCAGTTTGTGGTTGTCATTCATTTCCTGCAGCATGTGTTTGCATTCAAAACAACAGAGCGTCTGTAGCTTATCGTGAGATTTAGAGTAAAATCAAATAAATAAATTAGGTGATTTTTATCTTTGAAAGTAAGCAGGGACATAGAACCAAGAAGCAGTTAGTAATAATAGTAGTAAGTAAGAAAAAGAAGAAGAAACGGACTAACTTTCATGGCCTGAAATAAGTGAATAAAGAGGAAGTGAGCCATTTTTCCCATGTACGAATCACAAAGCTGCAGTTTGTAATTGTATCCTCTGGCCAAGCCACACCAGGCTACTGGATGACTCACCAGTCCGCTGATTCAAGTGGGTTCTTCCACTGTTTGTGGGTTAGGACTTGTACCCTTCGTTATCACCACAACCAAGCCCTGAACTGTTCCTAAAAGTTTACACAGAGCGCATTATCCATACTTTTATAACAGGTACAGTCCCTCCCAGCCTGAGCTGATCATGTCACACCCTGATAGTTTTACCAGACTTCCATTTAGTCTGAGAAAATAAGAACACTTTTATAAGTTTCTCCAGAAATCCTGTAGAGACCATGTGCTTATTTGTGGAAAAATAAGCACCTGAGATTTAACTTAATTCAAATTTTGCTTTAAAAGTGCAACTCATATGGTCTATAAGCTTACCAGTTAGGGAGACGTTGTTCAAGCCTGAAATGATTGTCAAAGTTTATCTTTTTTTTTTTTTACCTATCAAAGAAATAAACACAATCTTGAAAGTAGTGGTCACATCTACTTTATCTTCTTGTTTTGAACATTAGGAATCTAATCGCTGACACTGATTATATCAGTAATGTTGAACTTGAGGAAAATAAATCATGCTCACATTAGGTAACAAGTAAGTTAAAAGTCATGGGACAGCTTAAAAAAAGACTTATTGCAGCTTTCAGACTCAGTTTTCTTGCAGCAACAGACTTTCCTTGGCAAGGCCTAGCAACTAGCAACACGAAGCATGACGCACCGGCATGACAAGTTCATTTAGCAAACTTAAGAACGGACTTGTCTATACACCTCCTCATACCTTTCCCACCACTCCCCACGCCTCTTTTAGGTTCTTTTTCCCTCCATCTTCCTTCCATTGTACCTTCTTCCTCCTGCTGTTTCTATGTCCAAAGACTTGTTAAAGACATTATTACGTGATTGTTTTATTGCCAAGTACAGGTATGGTGTTCATTGAATCAGACTTAACACGTCAAAGTCTGTAACAAAAATTTCAAAATGTGATTCTCAATCTGTTCATTTGCTTTTGATCAAATTCCCAAATTTAATGTAATTCAAGAGGGAATGAGTCACAAGACCGACGTTTCTTTGCTTGACTAGATTAAATTAGATCTCTTCCCAGCAATGAAAAATCTCATAGCAATTATCTTGTATAGCCATTAAGAGTTATCTTGAATAAAACTGGGATCATATGAAGTTACCTTTAATCGCCTGGCATTGATTTACTAACAACAGTTGCTTTGTTTGCTGTAGGAAACATGCCCTCTTGTGCATCCTAACACAAAGCTGCCTTTTTCTCATAAGGGATTTTTAATTGAATTACTGTATTGTTTGTCATTAATGCGGGAGTGGAGTGTTATTATAGTGAGTGCAACCATAACAGCAAGGTGATCTAAATACAGGAAAGCATCTATTTCTTTTTGGACCAGGGTGCTTTCATGTTTTCTCTCGAGATTCTAAGGCTCCTAGCTAACTCTGCTGCCCTTTCTTGTTTCTACCTTTCCTGCAGAGGCTTTTCATTTGACTTTTGACCGCACCCAGTCCAACAATGCCGCACCGGTCACAGAGCTCATCGGTTGGTGATAATCCACTTGACCCAAACTATCTACCGCCACACTACCGCGAGGAGTATCGCCTAGCTATTGATGTTCTGATTGAACATGACATACAGGTAACAGTTACAATTTTTTCGTATTTTCCATAATGTGAGTAATGTGTAAAAACAGATGTGGGGCCATAGAACAACATTTGTCTTTTGTAGTGTTTAATACTTTTATGTTTTATATCAAACCAACAAATTATCACGCAAGACTAAAAACCAAAGTCAATACAATGACAGTTTTCAATTTACGATTTTGTTTATTAGGGGAAAAACAGCATTCAAAGAAATGGGCCCTTTGTTAAACGATGCGTTAACTGCAATTAAACATTGTTCAGACAACAGGTTTGAATTTTACTTGCCACCCCTTGTCATTTTACAGATCTGATCACAGTCAGAACTGTAAAATAAAGAAATTACCTAAATGAAACCTGTCCACATTAAGTAAGCTAACGGATTTGAAAAATCTTGGAGTGAACATGGACGATGGAGCAGGACAATGATCTGAAGAAAACAAGCATGTCCACCTTTGACTGACTAAAGAAGCATTAAATGAAGGTTTTAGAGAAGCCTAGTCAAATTCAGTACTTAACTTTTATTGTGATGTTGTGAAATCCTATTTTTGCTCTAAAAGCCACTAAAGATGCTGAATTAAAACAATTCCTGAAAGAAAAGGCAGGCCAAAATTTCTCCAGAGTGGTGTAAAAAGCTAATTATTGTCACCAAAAGTTTGTGTAGATTTCTTTTTCCTGTAAGAAAAGAAATCTATATTACAGTTATTTTTTTCGACAATATTTAAATGTTACACAAAAACAGAAGTAAACTGTAAGGGTCCAATTTACAGTACTGTAATGCTTTTTTTTTTTTATGACGCACTGAACTTGTTTGTGTTGTTGCACCAGGGCTACTTTGAATTCCTCCAGACGTCAGATTTGGTGGGTTTCCTGTCCCAGTCGGAAATTGAATACATCAAGTCCACACTGCAGGGACCCAGCCAGTCCTCGGGCGCCCCTGAGCTTACATACTATGAGGGAGGGCAGGACGCCGAGGGCTCCTCAGACACCTACTGGCCACTGCAGTCTGACACGGCTGCGCCAGGGCTGGACCTGGGATGGCCGCTTCCGCAGCACAGCTTCATTGGGCCCACAGAGGTCACCACTCTGGTCAACCCCTGCGACTCAGAAATGCCCAGCATTAAGGAGCAGGCCAGGAGACTCATCAAAAATGCACGACATGTAAGTACAAACATCAGGGTGCAAGAAAGATAGATGTTACAACGTGTAGGCTTGATTTGCGTATTTATACTTTAAATACAAGAATGTATTAGGAAGCACATTTGTAGCCTGGGTGGGTTTGTGTCAGGGTATGATGTATTTGTTTCAGTGCTGTCCTATCAGTATGCATCCCATAAGTCAACTGTTATTTCTGAAAAAGAGAAAAACTGGTTGATAAAGCCCTGCCAGGTACATTTGTGTCCCCTGACTTGTTAGTTTGAACTCTTTTTTTGTTTTGTCTACCTCTGGCAACATTTCTACCACTCCCTTTTAGTCAAATTTCCAACTCACTGGCTGTCAGCTAAATTAAAAGTATGATTAGCAGCAGAATGACTGCCAAATGTGACTAGCAGTCAAACTCGTTGGTGTGAAGGATCGTGCCTTCATTTGTCCTATGTTTCTGTCTGAATTTACAGCGTTCTGAGCTGTGTCTCGCAGGCGTTTACTTTTAGCAACTCTCCTGAAGTCAGTGTCTCAGCATGCTCATGGAGGAATGACAGCTTGGAAATAAAATGAGTCACCCTGAAAACCTTATGTAAATTTAGTGCGGCAGATATACTGAGTGTAGTCAAATGTTCATGGAATGTCTATTTTGTTTAAGTCTTTTATTAAGAGTTGAAACTTAAGTTGGATAAATAAAAAAAAAACTTGTCAAGTCAACAAACAGGAAGCAAGGCCATCTCGATAAATACAAATATTCAAATACAGAAAGTCCTTGCTCAATTCACCAATTTTTACCAATACTTTATAATTTCTTCCATTCCAGCTCGAACTTCATACATTTTAACACACCATTTCATACTACCTAACCGTACACAGCAGTGTTTCTCTTTTCAGTTTTGTTCGTAGTGAATTATCTGACTATAAAAATGGTAAAATCTTGCATATACCTAGTTGTATATCTTCATCTGAAAATCTCACTTTCTCTGTGGTTTTGTTTTTAAGAAAAATGGGTATGACTTGACTACAAAGCGTCAAATGACAAGGACCTATATAGTCCTGTTAGAGGGAGGGTTTAAGAAACTGACAACACAATAATCACGTGTCCCTAAAATAAGTGTGTTTGTTCTTGCGGTCTAGGTTATCGCAATTGTGATGGACATGTTCACAGATGTTGACATTTTCGGTGACCTCTTGGAAGCAGCAGGACGCCATGTTCCTGTTTACATTCTACTTGATGAGAAGAATGCTCCTCACTTTGTCAATATGGTTATGAGCTGCAAAGTCAACCTGGACTTAATTCAAGTGAGTTTCAGGTTTCATTACATTCCACGTGTCTTTTCTCACTTTTTTTTCCATTTTACCCGTTGCAAGATTTTACACATGGTGTGCACTAACAGGTAAAATGTTCATTTTCTAGATGATGCGCGTCAGGACTGTTGCAGGAGTAACATACTACTCTCGGACAGGGAAATCGTTTAAAGGACAGGTGAAAGATCGTTTTCTCTTGACTGACTGCCGGGCTGTCCTCAGTGGCAACTACAGGTATGTTAATAATATCATTTAATTATGTTGTAGTTATTTAAAAACGCTAAGACTTTCTCTTTTGTCTATTTCTAGTTTTATGTGGTCGTATGAGAAGATCCATCGATGCATCGCACACCTCTTCCTTGGAGAACTGGTCACTACTTTTGATGAGGAGTTTCGTATTCTCTTTGCTCAGTCAGAGCCTCTGATTATTGATCCATCCAGTGGACCACTCACAATTCCTGACCCGGGCACCAGCAGCTACAAGAACACCCAGTTTGGTTTAAAGAGGTCACAGTCTTTACGTAATCCCGGTTTCAGGAGACAGCCTGAGATGCATTCAGCTTTCCCATATGGGGAGTTAGATCGTAACACTTCACTGCCTTTCCGGAGGAATGACGCGTTTCGTCACACCCTGGAACCGAGTGCAGGAATAACGATAGGAAAATATTCTCAGCAACAGTTTCGCCTCCAGCAGTCATACCTGGAGCAGGGAAAGTCCATTGTGTCCAGGCAGATGGAGTTGAGTTCAAGTGCCTTCAAGAGACATAGCTATGCTGAAGGGACCCAGGAAAATTATTCATCTTCACGACAATACATGAAGCACAGAGTAATGAACAATCTGGATGAAACAGATTTTCACAGGTAATTGATTCTAAAATGCACATTGTTTCAGGATTTTATTATTATAATTCATCTCATGTACTATAATTTGTGCAGAAATTTCTGTACATTGACAACTAAGTCAACTATAAAGATCAATGTTTTTTTGTTTTTTTTCAGAGAGCATATTTCAAGTAGCCATTACTACAGTGAAGGTCCTGGTCCTGGTTCTGGCCATGGACACTACGACAGACTTCGAGCCCCTCATCACCTTCCCATTGACCAGTATTCAGAATCAAGTTTTCACTCAGACCGGGAGCCTCCACCTGGAATAAGAGACTACTTTTCATCTGAGGACCTGAGAGGACCAGAAGGGCTCCATGCCCCTCCTGTAGCTGGGCGATATGGAGGAGGTTCAGCTAGTCAGAGACCAACCATAGGACAAGCTTACGCTTGTCAGCGTTCACCGACACATTTACACCCACCTGAGAAAGGACATTTTCAAAAGCAGTCTGATCAAGAGTACGACCAAGATCCAAGTGTAAAGCAAGGTATGAGGAGTTGGAGAATCCACTCATATCTGAGTACTTATGAGGATGGTGGAGAAGAAGGCTTGCCTCAGCCTATGGGTCATGACGCATTTGAGGAGCCCCCGCCTGGTGAGCAACTAGGTTCATGTGAAAATTTAGCTTCACGCTTTAGACTAAAGGATCCACCAACTGTGCCACCCAAGCCCAGACCAGATATACTGAAACCCCGCTTTGGAAAGCCAAAATTACCTGACGGCAACAATCAAGACTTTGCCCCAACAGCAAGCAATGATGTGCTTCCCTCCTTCAGTGATTTGAGGTCTTCTGTTTTGGAGAAAAGAGACAGAATAGTAGAAAGGGAAAAGGAAAGGGAGTCAGAGAGGGGTTCAGCTAGGAATACTGCAGAAGATTTGGAGGTTAAGGAAGCTCCAGATATCTTTTTGTCCAGGCATGAATCAATCCGCTCTCGCGTAAACCCTCTCCTCCAGCGTAGCTCTCGTCTGCGCTCCTCGCTTATATTCTCATCTTCCAAAGGAGAGATGCACAGTGGTAGTCTAGGTCTAAAACCAGCGACCGAAGAAGATGACCAGTTAGATACGGTACGCACTTCCTCCCTTGTGGCCCAGATTCTTGAAAAGAGAAGGTCTTTCTCTCGTGAGCCTTTTGAATGGCGAAAGAAAGCTGAAGAAAAAGACTATGTAAAAGAAAAGGAAGAGAGAGAGGAAAAGGTAAAAGAGAAAGAGAAAGAAAATGAGAAGAAGGAAGAGCAACAGAAAAAGGAACAAGAAAATAAAAGCCAGATTAAGGAAAAAGAGGAAACCCATAGTACTAAAAAAGAAGAAAAAACAGTGAGTGCTGAGACAATTAAAGTCAAACCCTCAGTAAATGTAAATGATCCAGCTAGTAGACTACAGTATTTTAAAGATTTGGAGAACAAGAGAAAAGCCTCAAAAATGGAGACAGAGCAATCTCAAAAAGCCTTAGAGCCTGCTGAAAAAAAGCCAGACCTTTCTGAGAAGGTCCCTTTGTGTCCAGACACAACTCCTCCAAAAACCTCATCTGTAGCCGTCACTTCGACAGAACAAGAACCCAAGAAGCCAGACATCGCAGCAAAACTGGCAGAGCTCTCTCGCAGAACTTCATTAAGTTCAGTCAAGCCTTCGTTAATAACCCCAAAGCCTTTTGGAAGTTCCCTGAAGCTTTCAGAGACATTGCAACCCCACAAAAAGGAAAATGAGACAGAGGGTAAAAAGAAAGACGACCTCAAGTCTCTAAAGCCTCCTCCATCACCTAAGTTATTCAGGAAAGATCAGCTGAAGATTAAGTCCCTGAATCCTCGTCGCATCTCTTGTGATGATGTTCTGACAAAAGATGCAACAGATGCTGAGAAGAGTGAAATGAAAAAGAGTCGCTCTCACAGTTCTTCAACGCTACCACATGAAGAGTCTAAAGAAGGACTGCACAAAGTAATGGGATCTAATACTTCGCTAAATACAATTGGTGAAGGAAAGGGTGATGGTAAGACACTTGAATTCCTGAAGAAACAGACTCAGAGGTTAAAGGGGTTCCTGGGGCCAAAGGATAAAGAGAAGAAAGCCTCAGGAGACGACAGGGGCATGAGCACCGTCATGGAGGTGGCTGACGACTCAAGCAAAAAGGGCTCCTCAGGAAAGGTCACAACATCCATGACTACCGAACAACCCGCCACAAACCACAAAGAATCGTCTGGGAAATCACCTTCATCCCGCTACCAGGCTTCAGGAAACTCAGCTTTGTACAGCAGCAACCTGCGAGACGACACTAAAGTCATTCTGGAACAAATCTCAGCGAACAGCCAGAAAAACCGCCAGGAGAGAGAAGAAACCGGAGAGGACAAAGACAGTGGTGCCACGGACAAAGGTCAAGAGACACAGAACCCCTTTAAGAAAAATCGATTTCTGCGACCACAAAGCAGCAACCAGGAGAGGGAAGGGCTGCTGAAGAGGATAGAGAGCCTGAGGAAGGAGAAGAAGGTCTACAGCCGTTTTGAGGTAGTTAATGCCACCAGTACTGATGGCAAAAAAAAAAGAAGTTAAGATAAATATAGATAATCTTGTCAGTTTTCTGAATCATACAACTAAACCAATGTTTAGATGTAGAAATATTCTGTTTTTCATTATCTGTTAATTTGAAATGTTTGTACATAGACTATATAGTAACAAGAATATAGTTAATTTTACTAAAGATAATTTTATTTTGGTGAACAAGCTAATATGTTCTGCCTGGTATATACAGTGCTGTGAAGAAGTTCTTAACCCCTTTGAAGTTTTTTACACATTTGTTTGATTGACACACTTACTGTTCAGATCATGAACTAATCTTAACGTCCGACAATGATAACCCAAGTAAATACAAATATCATTTTTCCAATGATGACTTTATGTGAAGAAGCTATTGAAACCCACATTGCCATGTCTCTTTCTCATTGTTTATGTCCTGAGAAAATTCAGGCATGCAGATATTGTTCTGGATTCTTTTTTAGCCAACTGGATAAATAGTTTAGACTCTCCTGTTTTGGTGTACAGTCTTCTCTCCAGTGACGATTAACCATGATTCCACGTTTTCACCATTTTGTGGATAATGGCTCTCATTTTGGTGCACTGGAATCCTGATAGGTTTAAAGGATTGTTCTTCTTTTGTTCTTAAGTTTCTTTCGATTGGATCATAATGTATCGCTTTGTGAGATCTTTTAACCTACTCTTTGTTGTCAGACAGGCTCTATGTAAAGGATTTAACTAGACCAGAATTACTCACTTGTCTGGGAGTAGTCAATCCTGTTTAAAGTTGAACCCAGTAATACAAAAATATGGTTAATCACAGGTTCATCATGATTTACCAACTGGGACAATTATATTTTTATCCAGTGTTTGTTTGGACAGATTTGGTTCCTTTATTAAATGAAATCATTTAAAATGTCCCTTTTGTATTTACGTTGATAATCTGAGATATTCAAATTGTTTGTTTACCTGAAACGACAAAACTTTATGAAAAAACAAACATACCCCAGAAATAATCTGTAAGGCGGCAGTACCTTTCACAGCACTGTATAGAAAAGTTCTGGCACAATTTCAATGCATTCTTACCAAATATAACCTTTTAATTTAACACACATGATTGCATAAGTAGGGTTTCACTTTAGTAAAAGCATACAGGAGAAGAAGTAGAAAAAGGGCAGACACATCAATTTCACTGTTATCCTTGTTGCTCTGTTAACAGATGGGGAATAGCCTGGCATAACGAAAGATGGAGGACCGGCCTTTTATATGCGGACTATTTATGCAAGACGATCAAAAACAGCCATTGCCAACTTGTGCCAACAACAATCTATCACTCCACAAAGCACTTCTGGTGCAAGAGCTGCAGCCTTTTCTTACACAAAGAAGTAATAAAACTTGAAAAGACGATATTGAAAATGCTGAAAACAAACTAAAGTCATTGGGTTTGGAATGTGTCTCCTTGCCAAGAACCGGTACTACTTTCTCCTTATATGGTGACTGAAAGACAAAAGTGACTACTTGCACACTGACAGCGTTGGCTAATGTTTCACCACACAGATAAAAAGATAGGCTGTTTCACATAAAACCAAGCCTGTATGAACGTGACAGGGGAACTTGAAGATGAAAACAAAGAGACTGCACATGTTTTACCAGGAAAAGAAAATGGATATATGCCAGTTTAAAATCAAAAAAGCACCGCAGTATTCTGCAGTAAGTATACAGTACCAGTGTTGTGAGTTCATGGCAATGTTTGTGTGCCTGGGACTAGTTTGCAGATAAACATGAGAGAGAGTATCCTCGTGGTTTCATCATGTGCCAATCATCGAGGCCATTACTAAAGTAGGAGAGTCAATGCAAGCCCAAAGGTAGAAAGATGTGGGTAGTACTGAGAATGAAGTTGTGGGATTTGCTGTTGGAGTAAAGAAAATGAGGTGTGCAAATATGTGGGGTTTTATAATCTCAAACTGCATTAGCAAGTGTGTTTTTTTTTTTTTTTGATAAAGTCAAAGCTGTAGCAAAGTCTACCTTTCCATTAAGGTGTGGACCCACCGTTCAGGGCTAAAGATGTCAAATAACCATTCAGGGAGGGGATTTCGGTCAGAGTACCTGACTAATGTATGCGTGCTGTCCTTTGTTTTATGTAAATAAAAATGTAAATCATTTACAGTTGCTCTGAGTCACTGTGAAATAGTTTTGTTAGCATGTTGTTTATTTTGGGGGCGGGGGTATTTCAATAAGGCATTACTTCTAAAGGAAACCAAGAGAAAGACGTTTGGGTCTATTGCACAGTTCTGGAGCAAAGCCATGCCAGCTTATATAACTCGTTTTACTTCTAAGGCCCACGCCCTAAGCAGGACTCCTATCTATTTTGTTAGTCTGACCACAGTTGAAAAGAAGACTGAGGTGTATGTGTGACATTTTAAGACGGCATCAAACTATTTTGTGTTTTTCTTGAGCATGTCTGTAGCTTGGATTTACTCCCGAGGGATGATTTAAAGTTTACATGTTTTTTGTTTTAATGTACATATTTATATATAAAAAGCTTTGTTCGTGTTTTGCATTGTAAATGTATGCACTGCACTGGACTCATTTTTGTTAAATATTATCGACGTCACTGAGGGCAAACCAGTTGCACAGGGTAATTGTGCTCTTTGTTTTTAAACATTTAATAGTGTTACACTGTTTTTAAAATATGCACAAAAAAAGGATTTAATTAAATATTTTAAACTAATTTGAGTTGTGGTTGTGTGTATATAAGAGGTCTGTATATAAATTGAATTTAGTAATTACAGGCTTTCGAGTTTCTTTTTTTGTTGATGCAGAAAAATCACAAAATTGCAACTGTTACATTTTTATATGGAACACTTGGTAGATATAACCTCAGCATAGAATATCTTAATACAGATAAAAAAGTTCAAAAGTTTTAAGATTTAAAGCAAAAACCACATAAAGGTAATGAACAATTTAGATATTAAATGTGGTTAAATCTCAGACTGAGTCAATTAAGTACTTAAAACCAGCAGTGAAAAACATATAAATTGACTGTTTAAGACTATCTCACTCAGGAAATCTTTATGTAACAACGACATAAAGGAAATGTAACATTTCCATTGAGCCTGGTCCCTGAGCAAGAGACCAGGCTCAAAACAACACAAAGAACTGGTCACTCTAAATCCCCAAGACTAGACACAAGTCATTTGGTTTACTCAAGAATCTGTGCATCTTCAGTCTCAAACTGCTTCTGTTTCTTCGCCTCCTCTAACTCTTCGTCCAGTTTGTGCAGCTGAGCCAACTTCACTTGTTCTATCAAAACCACATAACAAACAGTTCAAACACTACATGCTTGCATAAAAAAATAAATAAAAAATAATGGTGCTCACAGATGATCGTGGGAAGAACTCAAGAGAACACTCACCAGCTGACGACAGCTGATGTTTTATGTCTTCAGCTTTCTTCAACTCATCTGGGAGTCTCTTTGGATTCTAAATAACATTTTTTTTGTTTCAGTTATTTGCTGTTTTTAATAAACAGAGAGAGGAAATAAGGAAAACTTACAAAGGCATAGTCGAGTTGCTTGTGCTGCTCTATCAGTTGCAGAAGTTGGTTTTCGAATCTCAGTCTGTTGAAACCAGGTTGCTTTATTGAGTTATTATGGTAATATTTTTAGTCAATTTTCTGAATGGAATTATTCAGAACTACCGCAGTTTCCTGTGTTTCAGCTTCACTTCCTCGATTTCACATCTGTATCGTTCCAGCAATTCCTCGTTCGTCTTGTTCTGCTTCAGCTGCCTGCAAAACACATTTTAGCACATTGAAGATATTAAAGGCATTATTTTAATATAAACTAAATGAAATCATAAAGCATTCTAAAGTATTACTTCTCTTACAGTCACCATATGTTGGCTTAGAAAAGCTTTTGTGAAAAAAAAAAGGGTAAAACTGTTCTGAAATTAGTTTAACATGTTTCATAATTACGACTTTCTAAAACAAGTATATTATACAGGCTGTAAATAGATAACAGATGACCTGTCCATCACAGGTTTAACATTAGAGACACATTCTTCAGGTCAAATCAGAATATCTAATTAACCCAACGTGGATATTTTTAACAATGAGAGGAAGCTGAGGTAGCCGAAGGAAATTTACAAGCACTGGGGAAACGTGCAAACTTCACAGGTCTGCACGGCTCAGATTCCATCCTCAGACCTTCTTGCAGGAAGGTGACAGGTAATAAGCATCATGGCGCCTCAGTGCCTTTGTCTTGCAGCTTTCCTGCAACAATTCCTACAAACCATATGTCTTCAAAGGGAAGAGTTAAAACAAAGTGCGTCACACCACCCATTGATGTATCTTAGGACAATGCTGGAGGGCAGGAAATTCCAGCATTTTGCCATCAGATGGTTAAGGAAAATGTAAGCAACGAAAGAGGCCGGACTGGTTGGATATATCTTTGTACAACAGAAAGATAATGACCCAAACCAAGAAATAAAAATGATGCCCCTTCATCCAAAACCCGCAGTTTGTTTTGGCATTAAAGTGATGACAAAAGAAAAGCTGTCATTGAAAACTGCAATAAATAAGCCAACACAAATTCACACCTTTGTATCATGGTAAAGATGCCCAAAAGAAAAGATCATTAAATATTATATGTTGTGAAGAACTAAAGTATTCACAGATCTCTACTATCAGCTTTGACTCTTGGTGCGATGTTTTTCTCTGAAACTGTTAGTTTTTACACAAAATCTAACCAGAATTGCATCTTCTTATAAGTTTAATTTGTGTCTTTTAGTCCAAAGAATATTTCACCCAAAGTCTTAGGGATCATCGAGATTTTGTTTTGTTTCGGGACCCTCAGAGGTGATTTACAAATCTCAGGAAAAAAAACCAATTATAGCAAAATCTAGAGTCATTTCATGTGACTGAGGTCAAACTGTTGTGTTCACAGCCAAACAGACTTTAAAAAGAAACTGGAAGAAGAGTTAAAAGGAAATAAACAATATAATAATAAAAAATCTAAGAAACAAGTGGCAACAATTTATCCAGAAGTTAATATAAATGAACCACTATTATAATAATTATTATTCTTAAAAAAAAAACAAAGAAAATGTTTCATCCAAAACTCAGAATAACCAGAAAAACTAAAAATTAGTCTAATTTATGTTCTTTTGTCCATTCAACAGCAGAGCAGGGGAAATTTAAAGATGCAATTCTTTGGCCAAACCGAAGGGCGGCGCTGTTCGTTTAAAGGATGTAGTTCCACAGTCAAACACAAGGGCGGCGCTGCACATTTAGTTCTCTGATAGGAGGAAGACCCTGTGTGCCATATAATAGTGTAATAAATGAGCCCACATCGGGTGCTCCTCATTCATTTTGTATCACAGCACCTGCTCAGCCGCCTTCTTATTGCTTAGTCATAAACACTGACCTTAACTAGGGCAGGTGAGGCCTGCAGGGCTTCAGATGTTGTCCTGAGTTCTGTTGTGACCTTCTGGGTGAGTTTTCAATGTGACTTTGGAGTAATTTTGGAGTAATTTTGGCAGGAAAGCCAGACTTGGGAAATTTCATCACTATTTCAAATTCTTCAAAATATCAAATTCTTCAGAAATATCCCTAAAAACCTTTCATGGTGGAGTTTGTTCTTCAGTATCTTTTTATCCAACATTTAGCCATGTTGTCAGGCAGGTTGTGTTTTAGGGATTGTGAAATAATAATAATAAAAAAAGTTTAATAATTACAGTTAACTCATTATTTAACAAGATGGAGAATTGTATTTTTGCAAAGGACCTGGTTGCTTTTGGATTAATTTGTTCTCTTAATTAAGAAAATCATAATTTGAAACAAATTTGTATATCTCTGATAATCTTCTTCAGATTCTAACATCTGTTTAATAATCTTAAAAACTTTAGTATATGAATTGCTATCCTTTTCTAGTGACAATGTTTAACTTACCGTTGAAAATTCCTGTTTAGCCTATATATTTTTCCAAGCTTAAGGCATGAGCAGGGATGTTTTTGAAAGTTTTTTTTTGGTGTAAAATTACTTTAAAAAGACACATTAAACGGCTGGATCAGACAAAAATATTGCCAAGCCAAGCCACCAGCGCTTCACTACATGGTGAATTCCTGCCATCTAGTGGTAGAAATGCGACATACACAGTGGTGCACATTGGCAGATTTTTAAAAAGTATTTTACTTGTTCAAGTCCTGCTCAGAGTCTTCACATTGCAACTGCAGCTTGCTGGATGCATCTGACAAAAACAAACAAAAAACACAATATTCTGTTAAAGTATAAATGTTTACTAAAGACTACCATATGGCTCAGGCAAAGAGTTAAATATTAGACAGCAGGATTACAACAAACACTTGACCATTAAAAGTGTTAATATAGTGTGCACCTTTCTTATCTTTATGGATTCCTTCCAGTTCATTAGCTTCGGTTTGTACTAATAAACAAGAACAATACATTAGTTAAGTATGATCAAAATAAAACTTTACTGTTATTTTAATTCAATAACAGTCACTAAGGGTAAATGTTGAATGCTGGTATGTACAGCTCAGCATTTTAAAAGAACTAATCACTGCCAAAGTAAAATGTTCAGGAATGGGTTTAGTATCTTACAATCTGCAAGCTCCTTTTGCAAATTGTCATGCACAGACTGGGCATCTCTGACTTCCTCTTCAAGTTGTCTCTTCTCTGTTCAAAGAACATGACTGTTAGTGAACATTTTGCCACGTATTGTTATTCACAGTTAGAGAATCAGAATGGCTCAAGTAGGGTGTTGCGGTTCCCCACAAGAGGGAGATACTAATCATATCTCATGCACCTCCATTCATCATGCTCTGTAACTCCACGGATGGAGTAACAGGTAAGGATGTACCTCACTGACAATACCGGATAAGTCGCAAGTGAAGCTTAATATTGTGTGTACAGACCTATCTCACTCACGGTTGTAAGAGATATTTGTTCACTTGTTCACGTTTTTATTTAGTTCATCCGTGAACGTGAATACCCCCTGAGCTTCACTCAGGTCTAAAAATTGTACGTTTTGACGTGTTTTGGTCATATTAGCTTTATTTATTCTCAATTTGATACGGGAACGTGTCTTCGTTTACATATCGTCATCACTACGTGGATCCTCATTGGTGCAAACCTTAAGAAAGATTTCTACAAAATTACAACGAAGAATGTAAGCACTTCCTTGATAAACAAGGCACCCACTCTTTCAGATACATTCAAGGCCTTTACTTAGTAATTTAAAGGTTTTATTTGGTTAAAAGGAACGAGATTAAACTACCGGATGTGTAGCTCAGCAAAGAACAGCCTATGCGTCAAGATGGTTCCTGCACCACTAAAGCTAACACGGCCAGCTTTCAGTTTCAATTTTTGCGATATGTGAAGAATATCCACTGATCATATCAACAAAATTAAATAATGATTAAAACAAATTTTAAAAAACGCCAACACAAATTAAAGACATTATAAGCCGGTACTCATGCGCGTCATTTCGCAAAAAACAAACAAACAAACAAACAAAAAAAAAAACAGGGAAAAGCTAAACTGGCTTAACTAACTATAAATGGACGTGTTAAAAACATTAAAAAATTATATTTTTAGGTGTCAATGGGTGTATATATTTAAATGGAAATTAATAAATATTAACTTTCAATAAAAGTACATCTTGTCCAACAGATGTCACTATAGTGCAAAAACAAATTAAACGTTTCTGTATCAATGAAAAACGTTTTCTAAATAAATTTAGTATTTTAAAACATATGGAGTAATGAAACCTTACAAAAATATACCTTGTTGAAGCATCCTTAGCTTGGCCATGAGCTGTTCAATTTTGGGCTCCGGCAAATCTCCACCTGCCAATGTAACAAATTAAATTATTAATGCTACATCTAAACTTTACCTGCATATTCTTATGTTTTACATTGTTTTTATGGTGGGAAATTGATCATGTACCCAGTGTTGCATCTTGTAATTAATATGTAAAACATCAAAATTAGAGTCAAGAAAATCTTTGAATTTTCTAGAACTTTCTTCCAAATGCTAGCTTAAGATGTAGAAGCACCCAAATAGCCTTATGTTGCTCATATTAGCGTCAAATGTAAAACTCTAAGCAGTTCAAGCCGTAAATTAAACTGAATGTTTTAATTTATAAATTTATGTCTTTATAAATTACTGCAGAAATAACATTGTTTTTGTAATATAACCGTTGCATTTTAACCAACTGAAAGAAAACCGTTAGCTTAGTTCGGGCTAAATGTGCCATTGAAGCTACAATTCATCCCTAAAATATTTTTACACTGCTAAAAACTATTCAATAATCTGGAAACGACCACATAATAAACCTATTCCATTAATTATTCGAGTCATACCGCCTTGTTCACTCATGTTTATCCAGCTAGGCCTGTCTAGATGGCCGACTGACGTTCCCACTCGGTGTCCGAGTTAGCGGTGGGCCCTGCACGTGTGTTCATATCAAAACGTTTGAATATATTTTAAAACGTCATATATTCCAGTCAATAAATGACGTTTATTGACTGGAATAACGAATCTGTGATATATAAAAGCGAATTTATACATCACAGATTCATGTTCATTGCAATAAAAAACGGAAATTCAGTTAGCCTGTCTTATTATCATACATTACAGAAATATAGATACTTTTTAAATATATTTTTGGCCTTTTTATTGCTCTAACATTGACATTTTCTTAGAATATGAATTTTGTGTTTTTATTACTTTTAAAATACAACCATCAAAATGAACAACTAAACATACATTTTTAGTTAAATGACTGAAAAACATTTTTAAATAATATTAAAATTTATTTCACTGGACTGCTAAACACCTGTACAGTAACTGTGGTCACGTTTTCCTGGTGTGGTAGCTTCTGTTTAAAAATATGCTTTTTTTGACAAAGCATATGTGCTGTGATAACTATTCATGCAGGATAGTTGTTCACATGTGCCCACTGCTGACTGAGCATTCAAAAGACCAGCTAATGCCCAGAGATTAAAAAGGAGAGTAAACAAATAAAATCTAAACCTTAATGAACACTCCACACATTCCCATTGTATCTATTTTAATGGAAAGCAGACAGCTGTGTTAAGGAATTTCAGTTCACCTTCATTTTGATGCAAATATACAATGCGAACAGACCCATGTAGCCTGATTTACCTACTTTATACATCAAAACACCAAGTTGCCCTATGTACACATACATGTTAATCTGACACAAACATTAAAACGAAAAGAAACAATAATCTAACAAGGTTGTCAAATAGCAGTGTCTCTTCAAAAACAAGAATAGCTGCACTGTGTAAGTTGTCAGCACGTGCAAATGTGGAGAGGATCATGCAGCAGGTATAAATAAAACAAAACAAAAAAAAATAAATAAATTTACACATCCTTCAAATTTGTATGCATGTTTCGATTAATAGATCATTTGGCTGCTAGTGCATTTTCTCTGCTCTGTTCACATTACTGGAGAGATTACAAAACCTTTAAGGACTTCAGATCAGTTCTAAGTTCCTTCATACCTGGTATGGGTTTACTTCAAAGTTTGATCAGTATCAGATTTAATAATCAGCAGTGAGACAAATCAATATTCACTCAAAAGGGATTTACCAACACAAGGATAAAGTAATATACAAATGCAAGTACAAAGAATACAGACAAACGTTTTTTTGTCTCATTACATACATTCTTTTAAACCAAAAGGTCTTTTTTTATATAATTTGACCATCATTTACAAAATAATGTAAAGATTAAAATATTCCTTTATGCTAATTTTTTTTTTAATAATGTTGGTCATCGAGGATTATATTCCCCGCCCCTGTAGCAACACATCCGTACATACGCTCCAGCATGCCTTTCAGAGGTAGGAAAAGGGCGGTGGTAGCGGGTGGAGGAGGGGTATACTGGCATCATCAACAGTAAAACACGGCACTATTTACAGCTGTGACAAGCAAGACGGAGGCTCTCCTCCGTTGACTCCTGACATCATACTGTCTTTGCGTGTATTTCCGATTTAACCATGCAGAATTTAATCACGCAGGCTGGGGGAAAAAAAAAAAAAAAGGTGACAAGTTTATGAAAACAGGCAGATTGGAGTAAGAATTATTTCTAAAACTGTCTTCTATATTCAGGCAAAGCTGGTTCTGCATCAGTTGTGTTAGTTTCCCCTCTTTTCTCAGTTTAAGCTCTGCAGCAAGACGAAGCTAAGTGCCAAGTACCCGCAGCCCGGCATGTGTGACTCTCTATGTGGCCAGTCCTACAGGAAGTAGGCAGTTTGGGTGATTGAGACACAGCTGAATGTGTTAGTAGAAGCAGAGGAAAGATGGAGTGTCATTATGGGTTTTCCGTTTGCAGCAACATTTATTAGAGAGGAAATAAAAAGTGTCCTCATTCAGTTGAATTTTATGACAAACTCTTCATTTGAAAACAGAGCGCTGTGTGTTTTCAAGTGACAGGTAGGTGAAGGGAACAGCTGAGGAAAAGTCAGATGAGAGAGAGAAAAAGCACAGGTAAGCAACGTTTTACAACGAAGAGAGGCATTCTCCATCTTGATGCTGCTCCCCCGAAGGTGCAGGTTCATTCACGAGAGCGCCCCACGATCGCCAGAATGTAGAGGAAAATGTTGATGATGTCAGTGTAAAGGTTGAGCGAGGCAAAGATGTACTCCTCCGGACTGAGAGCAAGCTGCTTGTTGCCCAAAAGAAGCTGGGTGTCCACAGCCAAAAACTGCAAAAAGGCAAATAACGAAGAGGTTAGTTTTGTTCTTTTCAAAAGCGATGAGAAATGAGAAACTCTAAAATATCTGTTTTGGTTCTTTAGATGCACACGTTGCACGGACATATTCTTCAGATAACGTTAAAATCTTGTGTTAGAATCTAATCTTGTGCATTTTCTAAAGTCCTTGGCAGTTTTTCGGGTTTTATGACGCAGCCGAGAAACAGAGAGGGCAAAGAACAAAGTAAAAACTGTTAAAACACAAGCTTCTTCTAGACGAAACCCCAAGTAAAAATATGGATGAGGTCTTGTTTCTCAGATAACCTGTTTCTTTATGTATTTTATAGCAGTTTATAATTCAGAGTCAAAGCAAGGCAATCCTATTGGTCTGTTGGTGAAAAACAAAGCACTCATCTTTGCATACAGGACTACTGCAGCAGAAGATTAAGCTAAGAAATAATTGTCACAATACAAGCAGCAAATAAAACTATTAATTTAGAGATGAAGGGAAACTACTTGAATCTGGCCACAGCTGGGAGGATAAATACGCTTATCTTTGCAAGCAGAGAAACCTAATCCCAAGGAGAGCACTTGAAGTTCCCCTGCTGATAATTTTCCAGCTGTTCCCCTGCGATCTTTAAAAAAAATAAAAAATAAAAAACACTTTTTAATGTTTTTATGAAAACATTAAAAATGATCACAGGAGAAGAGGACTATCTGAATTTATCTATCTATCTATCTGCAGGGTTAAGTCTAAATGCACAGAAGTGTAAATTTTTACTTGTAAAACTTTTTAACATCACAATTGTGTTGGTTTTTCAACACAATTGGTTGGTTTTTCAAAAAAAAAAAAAAAAAAAAAAGGTTCATTGGAGTTTTTTTTTTTAACAAGACAATATATATAAAGTATTGCCTCTTTCTGTTTGACCACATCTCTTCTTTTATGTAAATAGAAATATCACCAATACTATACCCTTCATTCAAAGAAAGAGCTGAATGCACAGCATGTTCAAGTGGTGTTTTAATTTAAGCAAACATTGTGCAGCCATAATTCAAATGGAGCTACATCAGCTTAGGAAAATCTAGTCATGAAAATTCCTGTTATCTCTACATATCCCTAATTTTAACCATCTATGATGCACAAGAGTTTCCAAGAGAAGCTTAAACTTAAGGCATTATCATGTCATGTTGGCCTAAACTTACGCAGGTGAAGAGCAGAGCCCCCAGGGAGGCGTAAACTAAGTCCAGGATCTTGTTGCGGATGAAGATGCAGAGAATCGAAAAGACCAGCAGCACAATCAGGCACACAAAGAGGACGCCCCGACAGGAAGTGAAGTCATACTTGCTCTGTGATAAGAAAAAAAAAAGAAACATTTAGAAAAATAAAGCCCCCAAATATTCCTAATTTGGAAAACTTTGGTTAGAGTAAAAACTAATAAAAGAAAATTTAATCTTTTGTTTAAATTATAGCACAAACAGTAGGAAACAAAATGATAAGTGCTGACCTGCAGTGAGAAGAGGACAACGGTGAAGCAGACCACCGTCGTGATGCCAACAGCTATGATGACCGTCTCTGTGTTGTAGAAGCTGGCGATCATGCCCACCATGTAGGACATGCTCAATGTCAAGATGGACTAAAACAACAACACAGAAACAAGAGTTTTTGAAGATTCCGTTTACGTGTCAGAGGTCATCAATCTGTTTATTTGTCCCGTTTAAATTTCAGGCAATGACTTTACCAAAGCAACCAAATTCCAGGGGTGCTTGCGGCGGAAATCCCCGCAGCAGCTGATGGTGATCAGAGACACGAAGAAGACTGCATAGGACACATAATACGTCCACCGGTTGCGTTGCACAAACAGCTTAGCATCATCAACAAACGTGAAGATGGAAACAAAAGAGCAGGTGACCAAGAGCTGCACTGTGAGAACAGAAAAGACCTGATGGGGGAAAAAAATATACATTTAGGAGTTAAAGTGTGTATTTGTTTTCTTTTATAATATTTCACTCACTTTTCTGATGAAGGCTTGTCGGATGTTTTTGTCCTCTAAGCCAGATCCGGCAAATTCTTCGTTGTCATAGTAAGAAGGAGGAACATCGCCGTGGTAACCAGGGCTGCCTGCAGGTGCTGCTAAATAACAATTAAGTAGTGGTGAGATTTTGCGTACAGAGGCTGGACTATTAATCATCTCTGACTAAACAGAACAACAAATATTTCAGCTGATGCTGAGAATAAGTCTACTAGCTATTTGCTAATATTGTTATTGGGAGTAGTGATGCTGCATTTGGAAGTGGAAATTGTTTATATGTTGACGTGCTACTCTATCCAAAGTACAAATATAACTATAAGAGATATAAAGTTTATTATAATATTGATATGGTAAGTGTAAAATAAATAACCATGAATATGGTAATATGTAAATCTACAAATAGGTCTATAAGTCTGTCCTTTCATCCTGTATAATATAATATAATATAATATAATGGATTTTTATTAAATCTTCCTGGAATGTACAGCAAATTAATCAGTCCATATGGGAACTTATTTATTGTTTCTACACATTTTCAGATATTTTCAAATATTCACAAGTTTGAGTGAGGTTAAATTTCAAATCACAGACTATAAGGTATTAGATAAACAGATTGAAGGATAACTAGACAAACAGCATTACTGTCTACAGGATTTTCATAAGAAAACTCACCCATTGGGTCACCATGAAAAGCAGGCTGTCCAGGTCCATGCTGATACGGCCCCTGATTGTATGGGCCCTGGGGATAGGGCATCTGGGGATAGGGCATCTGGGGGTAGGGGCCAGGGGCAAAGCCTGGACCTGGTTGGGCAAAGCCAGGCTGTCCATAGCCAGCCTGTGGTGGGTAAGGTCCCCCAGGACCCTGGCTGTAGTTGGGGGGAGGCATGCCAAATCCTGGTTGAGTTGGTCCGTAAACGTTGTTGTGAAGCGGATTGCTCTCACCCATAATAGGGAATCGACTTTTGTCCTGGGACATGGTGCGGGTAATTACTCACTACTGCCACAATCTGTAAACAGACAGGCACAGTAAATATGTATTAAAGCTGGCATTCATCAATGTGCAGTTTGTGCAACGGGTTAAGGTTTAAAAGGAAACGTTAACAACGCAGATGTTTGGACAACTTCAATTTTCTTTTGTAATCTGAAGGGTGAGACTCACATAACATAAAACAACATCTAGGTCACAAACAATTAGGGGTACACCAATAAATCTGCCCCGATTTCCTTAATTTTGAGTGATCAGTTGATACTTGCATATCAAACCTTCACAAGGTGTGGAAATCAGCCACCGTCCCTTTTGCTCGGCCGTGAAAGAGAGCTGACTGCCAGACAGTAGTCGCCCCACTGTGGACAACTTAGTGATTATATTACTAAACTTAGCCACTTTTCATATAGGAAATGAAAATCAGCGGATGAGGCTTTTTAAAGATTTGCTATTATTTCAAAAGAACAGAGCAACAGGCTGACAGGGGATCTCAAGCCTACAGGGGATCTCAGCCAGAAACACTGAGCTACAGATGTGTCTACTTATTATTGGCTGAATAAGCTAAGGTATGGTAGAAGGCTGAAATATGTTAAATTAAAAAGTCCAACTTATTGGCCAGCTGATGCATCGATCCATGTCCAATCTTATTTTATAACCCTGCTGCCACCTCACACAAGGCAATACTCACTTAGCCTCAGATCAGAGGACTAAAAACCCTGTTTACAGGTTGCCCTCACTGCCCCTCCCCTTTAGGCCACACAGAATTAAAAGTGTGTTACGCAACACTGCTCCATTTTGCCCTGGCAAATGCATTTGGACTCCAGAGCCCGTCCTGATGATCTCTGTCTGAGGATGCATGCACCACAGGGACAGCGCAGTACAAAGCTTCAAACAAACGCTGGCTGTGCTTCATGCTGACACAAAGCATTAAAGTCATTCGAGATTACGTTCTGCTTTTAATGAGCTAAGTCCCTCCACAGACAACAATGGCAAGGCAATGGCATACTATTCGCAAAGAGACACAGTTTTCTTGAAACTATTGATCAATCGACTATTAGATAAGCGTCAAGCAGAGCAGTAAAGTAATCATATGATGCACACCCAAAGATCTCCTCCCTGTTCAATGTCCATGAACTGCATTTAAGAGTCAGACCTTGCACTGGCTCCCTGTAGCTCAGAGAATACACTTCAAAATAATGCTGTTAGTTTATAAATCACAGAACGGCTTAGCGCCTCAATACGTTAAAGATCTGCTGTTGTTCCAAACCGCTCAGCTCCAAACCAAATGTGGAGAAGCAGCATTCCGCTTCTACGCACCACAAATCTGGAACAAACTTCCAAAAAACTGTAAAACGGCCGAAACACTGAGTATCATTAAATCAAGACTAAAAACCCACCTGTTTAGAGTTGCTTTTGAAACATAACAAATAAAACATTAATCAACATTCTGATGTGCAATGACAATAACTTGACAATTGTTGACTGTGTGTTTTTGTAATTTGTGTGTGTGTGTGAGTGTGTTTGTGATGTAAAGCACTTTGAACTACCTTGTTGCTGAAATGTGCTATACTAATAATTGATTGATTGATTGATTGATTGATTGATTGACTGACTGACTGAAGATTAAAGCTCAATATTAGGTCTGGGTGAAACGATCAGAAACCTAAAATACAAACAGTGTCTGTTAGTCCACTATAAAATGAGAAGAAGTTTGTTTATTTTAAATGTTAAATTTCTTGTTTTTGTCTTTTTACTATAAGCATTACGGTCAGTTTTCTGGCTCAAAAATGAGCAGTAAATGTGTTTAATTATTCACGTTTAATTAACATGAATATTACTTCTTATTGTATATTTATATTTTAATATAAAAGATATTTTTATTATCAGCAAAAAAAGACAATGAGAATGAGTGACAATGGAATATTTTGAATCTTGTAAAAGGAAAACAAGATCAGATACCCTAACCTGTATTTTCCGCACTACAAGGTGCACCTAAAAACCTTCAATTTCCTCAAAAGTTGACAGTGCGCCTTATAATCTGGTGCGTCTTAAATATGGACCAATATTGAGCCGCAACAGCTCTAGCAACTACGGTGAGCAGCCACCGGCTTCATTTTTGCCTGCAGAAGAAGAAGTGCGCGGTGCATGTTGAGATAGTTTTTTTAGCAAATCTTGTGCTTTTAAACCAAGCAACAACAACTTAGAAATAAAAATCTACTTTGGTAAGTTGATTTTTACACTGCCTGTCTTGTTAAAGGCAATTTTATCTACTCGTTTCACAGATTACCTAATCCAAATAGACGCTACACACAGTTCTGAGACAAATGACACCAACAACACAGTGACTTCAGTATGATTCCAAATTCAGCACAAACAGCTTTCTCCTCTGAGGCTTTGAAAACAAAATGTTCTTTCTTACATGATGCAAAGATAGATCCGTTATCATAATGAAAGCACCTGATGTAACAAATCAAAAAATGTTAACAAAAAGTAGTGTTAAATTATGTACAACCCTGAAGCCAAGACGATTCAGTTAAGGGTAGTGAGAGTCTGTGGCCTCACCGACAGCGAGGCCACTTTCCCTAACCACAAAGGTTTCACCGCCACTACTGGGAAGAGGTCGCTGAGAATACAGTAGATATTTTAAAGAGACACTTTAAGTGAAGGTTTAACCTGCTTTAATAGAGTTATGTGAGATTATAAATCCTCTTAGGCGATACGCCACGATGTTGAGAGTAAAAACAAAGCCGGCCTGCCGGTGATAGCCATCGCTAAAGGATTTGGGTTAAAGGGAGGGATTCAGTAGGCCAGTCAGAGAGCTAGGTTAACACAATTAGGTTAGCACAATACTTCAGCTACACTACAGAAAACATGCTATGTGTAAGCCAGGGAAAAGCATGAAACGCTGTAACCGCAGACGTTCATGCAAAGCAGTCGGGCCAACATGGAGGCTAGCTGCACTAGCTTTTCTGACTAAAAATGACATGCAGTCAGTTATTGATGAAACAAAATGTAAAATGCTGTTTCATTGTCACATGATAGCTGACTCACTTTGTACATTTAGTTTGGCAACATCTGAGAGGAGGAATAAAGCATGTGGTTTTTTATGTTTTGTTTTAAAACTGAAGAACTGCCACGGCAACTCTCTGTATAATTATGATTTCTGTTCGCCGGCCTTTAAGTCATCAACAATGTAAAAGCTAACTGCCTCCACGGCTGTGCTTCTACTTTATAGGCCAGTGCAGTAGTGAGGGAAGGAAGATGCTGTTATCGTGCCAGGCTGTGTCAGCAGTCACCGTGGCCATGCCAAGATTATAGCCAGCAAACACCTAACGTTGCATCAGATGGCTGCAGCTTAACAGGTGTAGACCTCTACGACAAGAAACCGTCAACAAAGTTGATTTAAAAACATGACAAAGTTGTATTTCTTTTTCCAACATTTATAAGCTGGTTTTATGAGCATATGGTCATTTTGGCTTGGCCAATAGGTGCAAAGTGCCAAGAAAAGCCGAAGTAAATAATTATATTATTTAAGATGGGGTTTTTATGTCAATATTGAGACCAAGTTAAAGCAAATATAATTTCAGAGCTGAGAACCTCACATGACATTTGCCCATGGCCTGATTATCATGCTATTTTAGTTTCACATAACATAAGTGGCCTGACCAAACCAGGAAATGCAGTCACCTGAACACTAACAGAATCAGGTTTTTACAACACTAAATTATTTTCTATAGAATACTTGAAGAGACCAACTGAATCCGTGTCGGTTGATGGAGTGTGAACCTTGAATTATGTATGAAATAAATAAAACATTTTTTGTTTGTTTTGTTTTTCCACAATTTAAAACAGTGAGAGCTACTCCAACCCATAGAACCACCAAAACAGAGATTGTTGCAAAAAAAACAACAAAAAAAACAGCTTGGCACCATTTCACTTTCACCAATTACCAAAAATAATAAATATGAATAATATTTTTCCATTTAGCGACATGAAAGTCTATGCGAATGTGCCTTTCACAAAAAACTAATGATTTCCCAGAGGAATTACCTTACTCAGTTGTTTTAGACAATAAGCAACCAAGGCAAGTTAACTAGTAATCAAACAACTCAGAGGCAAAAGGTAAGTCAGTGTTACTCTTGTCTTTTAATAGTAAGCCAAAAGTAATCCTGAAGTAATTAATCCTTATTAAATCGCTTACCAGTTCATTGTTACTTAAATATTTCCTTCAATATCCAATTCACAACACAAACGGCGTGATAAAAATCAAAATTCAATCAGCAGAACTGCTAATCAAGTGCCGCAAAGATGATCATAGCAATAATATCGAATAAATCATTTGAATTTGCTTATACAGGCGATCCCAGCTGAAAAGCTATAGATACAATATCTATGTGTAATAACAAAAACAGGCCTCTGCCAGTAAGCAGACGACAGCTAAAATCATCTTTCTGACAGCTGGGAGTTACTGCAAACCAAAACAGAAACATGGACACAGTACTGCTCGCGTTGCAGAATGTAAGTCCATCTCCTGTAGGCCTCAACTGCGCACAAAAATGCGACACTGGCTCCATCTGTGGTCATATCATCCTGGAGATTACCGTTCAACTGGCCAGGAGGACCGTTAAAGTCAGCGACTGGGACAGAAATCCGCAACAACACAAAACACAGCTCGCCATGTTTAAATCCGCTCTCATTTACACGTCTTACCACGGTTACATGCCCACACCCCCTGCGTTTATACTGCTTTGATGCCAGCTCGTTTTAAGACAAACACAGTCATTATTTGTGCTGTATATAAACATAATGACAGCCATTCCATTTTTTTTTTCGGAATTTCGTTTCCTACCGTAGACATCTGGCTAGCAGGATGAACCTGTAACGGCTTCCTAGGATAAGCAAACGGGGTCGTCGTTCTCATAACATATTTGTTTACGAGAACGGAAATAGTAAACAAGAAATGTTTTAAAAATATAATGTCACATAAAATCTCCCCCACCACGCAAAAGGCTTACCTTTAGCGTATTTATTTGGGAGCAACTGTTGAAACGAACTCCGTTCAGCTTCGTCCCTCCTCCTGGATCTCTGAAATCAGACTGAGCAAGCGAAGTGGGGCCAGGGCCGCTGACGACACCACGCGGAGCGGTCACGTGTTTACCGGGAATCACCGGTTATAACGTGGAAAATTATGAAAATGTCACGCATTCAATGACACGATAACTGGGCATTTGAGATGAGGTCGTCTGGTTATTTAGAGGAAACATTGAGGTCAGATAAAATCCGCACAAACAAAACAAAATTAACAGAAAGATCTAGAAAGACCTGGACACCGATCCAGTCACGTGGTTTATTATCAGCAACGTAAGCTTACTGATATAACGTACAGCACAGTGTTTATACCAATACATCAATACGTATTGATGTCTATGGTTTATACAGTACTTTACATATATTTACTGCATTTAGCGGGGGGGGGGGCTAATTAAAATTACTCACTACATCATTTCTTTTTAAAATACCCCAAAAGGTAAAGTAAGGCATATGAGTTCCCATTATGTGTTTATTACTTGTTAAAGTTATATCCAGCGGTGGACTTTTTTCACAAGCAAATGTAAATTGACAAAAATAAAATAAACCCGGTGGTTAATGAAGTGTGGATATCCGCTGCTGGCTTTTAGAATAAAAGTTGTTTAAACGAAGCCTCAAGAAAAAGTGTCTGCCACTGCTGTGTATATTTAGGATAATGACACCAGGAAGGGCACAAGAACTGACCTGGTATTTGTTAGTGACTTAGCAGATTACCATAAAGTTTAAGCGTCAAGCATTCCCAGAACGAGCTGGAGAGTCTCGCTGGAGGAGACGAATATCTGGACTCCACTACTCCACTTCACATCAGTAAAAAACAGAGGGATGTTGTTTTGACTGGGAATAAAAATAAACACACTTTTAATGGTTTTCAATTTGCGTACAGAAGAAGGTTTATTGCTGGTATGTTCACATAAAAATAAATCACTCATTGCAATCATTTATTAAAACATCTATTTGCATATTTTACACTAATCATGTGCCCATCTTCAACCCAATTAGCCGATGTTTTAAAATGATGTTAAATGAGGGTGTTGGGTTTGATTTAGTTTGATGTGAGAGCTCTTTGCTTCATAAAACGTTCAGCAACAGCGAGGCAAAACAAATAGTACTTCTAGTTCCAGATTAAGTCCCTATTTGTGTGTGGAGAAATCTTTCAGCACAAAAGAGAGTGAGCCATTATCCCAGATGATGGAATAGACAATGGAAATGGTGTATATGCAGCTCAACCCCACACTTTTTACCCAACAAACAAATGATCTGCTTCTCATCTAGAGAAAATGACTCTATAGGAATTTGGGACTTCAAAGCTCTTGTTTACTTTTAATGGTTAGCATTTTATTCTGGCAAAGAAAAATGTTGTGTAAATCCTTCAGTAGAATTACATACTAACCCCCATCTAATATGATAGATGCGGAAGAGCCCATCGTCATTGACGTTTCATAAGCCATGACCATAACTGATGCAGTAAAACACGGTCTTTCTACACAGCTCCTGTTTTCCAGCTAGATTCCATCCCGTCTTAGCAAGACGATCAAAGCAAACTTTGTTGTACATTCAAATACTTGCTGTGTAACCTCTGATATTATGAAAGCTACTGTTTATGGTGGCGGCAACGAATCAGATTATCCAGTTCTGTCTTGTTGATGGTGCCGTAGGCTTGGGTGTAGCTGCCTAGTTTGGCCCGTGGGTCACCAGCACCAGCCACATTGCAGTTGTTCTGAAACACCTTCTTGCTGAACCGCGGTGGTGGACGAGCTTCACGAGCCTGAGAACTGGAGCGCTGGTTCTGCATACACAGAAATGGACATCATTTTGTTATTACTAGGTTTTAGAGAAAAAACATTACTTAAAATAAGAAATCCACACATTTTAGCAGCAATTTACAGACCAATACCAATTACAGAATCATTTTGAAGTAGAAAGAGGTTGAAACATAGTTTGATGTTTTTCCAAAATGTGAAAAATATTTTTGTATTCAGCCTCCCCAAGTCAAAATTTTGTAGAACCGCATTTTGCTGCAATTAACAGGTGGAAGTCTTATGCGAACCTCTTCCCGCTCTCAAGCTTTTTTTTTTTGCAGCATATAATCAGTTTTTCTTCCAGGATTGTCCTGCATTTAGCTCTATCCTTTTTCCTGTTGATCCTTATCAGCTTCCCTGCCTCTAATGAAGAAAAGCACACAGCATGACACTGCCACCTCCATGCAGGCAGGCCAAAAATATTTAAGTTTGGTTCCATCTTTCACATAAAATCCCAATAAAATCAATTGAAGTTTCTGATTTGAAAAAAGTCTAAAATATGTGCCTATTTTTGCTAGGCACTATAACTATATTTGCATAAATTTGCATAATGTTTTCACAATTCTGTCTTGGATAAAGCAGGCATAGAAGAGATAATGATGAGAGATGATAGAGTTTACCAGTGGAGCTGAAGAGATATGCAACCCAGCCGTTAAAAAGGCGTCATCTTTGCGAACTAAAGGGTTGTTTTGCGTTTGACTGAGGCTCCAGGAGAAGGAGCGGTTGTGAACCACAGTGGCCGATCGACCCCGCTGGAGAATCTGATCCATGGACTAGTAAAAAGAAGGTAAAGAGCGAGGCTCACATTGAAACACTATTGAAGGAAATACTCTGACATAGACAAATCAAGATAGTAACACAAAACGTGGAGCTAAACTAAACGGCGGCGTCGTTGAAGAACGCTGCTGCTTACTACGTTAGAGTCGTTGCCGTCTGCTGATGGTGTAACTGTGATTCTTGTTCTGGTTTGTCCTGCTGAGCTCCTGCTGGTTCTAGAAAAGTGAGGGGGCCGATTAAAACCGTCTGAGTGGAGAAAAGACAAACTTCAGTTTACCCCTCTGAGACAACGTGATGTTACAGTCATACGTCTAAGACACGTATGACTGCTAAAAGACAATTACTGAAGCAAATAAATATATTTTTGAACACAGTAAACCGTGGGAGAAACATTTTTGGTCAGAAACATTACAACATGGAAATATTCTAGTAAAGAAATAAGTTGTCATACTTGAAGTGTGAGCTATGGGGTTATATGCAGGTTTTCCTAAGCGGTGACCAGGTTGTGGACTCGTCTTCTCCGTTGTGGATGGGTTAGACGCATTGGCAGCCTCGGTTTTAGTGACCTCCATGTGTGAAGGCTCATGGTATGTCTCGCCTGTCTCCTCATTGCGTGTTTTCCTCTCGTTGTTGTGGGATGCTGCAGCTGCAGGGCCTTGCTCTTCTTTATCACCCTTCCTTGAACTGGGTTTCTCCTGGCAATCTCCACAGGTTCTGTTGTTTGGTAGCCTCAACGTCCCTTGGTGTGTTCTCCTTTCCAGCATCATCTAAAAGGAATTTGGATGATTGAACAAATTTAATACCTTTGACCAAATAAACTTTAAACATATTATACGACATACAGGGTTTTTATTTCAGTAATGTTTTAATCACCTCGTATAATTTGTTGCGGTACTGAATCACAGATAATTGCACGTCGTCGTCCACTGCCAGGACTACATCGTAGTTGAGAGCTGGCTCTTTGGCTGGGTTATGGAATCTAAGGGGGAAGAGAGGGGGAAACTGCATTTAAAATATTATTTCCATCATTAATGTTATGTAGAGGTGAGATGTTATTAATGACTATTACAACAGAAACAGACTTTCTGATTAATCCACATTTTTTACACCGATCCACTTGTCATCATTATTGTTCTAGCATATCATGTGTGTCAGATGTGCAAATCTACTGCAGTGAGATTTCATCTGCCTGACCAAACATATTATAGCACTTATTTAATTCTATGTGACAGTGTAAAAAAACCTTAACATAAATGCATCTTTTATTGCACTTTAAAGGCAAAAAGACATCTATAATCTATACATTACTAGTACAGCTGGAGAGCAAAGAGCTGAGTGAAATTAGAGACCACAAATCATCAAAGTAAGCAACCAAAAGAAGACAGAGATTCATCAACAATGATTTCCCCACTCAGAAAACCTCAGCACTGCCATTGTAGCTGCATTGTAAGTTTTAATACCTGGATACATATGGGTGATGAAGAGCCTGCTCTGCAGTCAGCCGCTTGTCCGGGTTAAAAACTAACAAACCCTTCAGCAAGTCGAGGGCATCAGGAGGCACAGACGGCTGGAGAAGATCCTCCAAAGGCACCTGTGGTCTGGTGAAAGACAAGTATGCCATGAGTCAGATATTTAAAATAGACAAAATTACACAGCAGAGGACATGACAACAACTCTGAGGTGTTCAAATAAAAACATTTAATTATGTCTCTGCACCTGTACTTCCAGAGAAAAGAACTGGTAATGTATTTACACAGCAGGATGAATTACAGATGTATATCAAATCTTTCCAGGTTTTCTAAAAAAAATAAATAATAATAATAAAATAAAAGCTTGCGTAATTTTTTTCTTCCACTTTACAATTGTGCACTGCATTCTGCTGGTCAATCAAATAAACTTTTAATAAAAGGTATTGTATCTTGTGGATGTAGTATAAAATGTCAAGGGGTGTGAATACTTTTGCAAAACACTGAACCTGCCATATACTGTATATTAGAGACATAGTTCTCCAAACTTCACACAGAATAAATACAATTTGCAATCACTAGAGGTTACTATAACACATCTTAATGAACACAACATAGAAAAAGACAAAGTTTGTTGATTTATGTCTCCACAAAAGGATTTCAAACAAACACAGTAAAAAAAACAGTCTTACTTCAGTAACATTCTCTGAATGACAGAAGATCCGTATTCAGACTTGATGGCGAGAATATCTGGAATAACAAATGTATTTATTCAGTCCAAACCCAAAAAAAAAAAAGTTGTTGAGTATGTGACATTTTGACATTATCTGCTACCTTCTGGACTGGGGTGAGGTATGGCACTCATGATCTTTTCTACTTGGTTGATGGTCGAAGTTCCAGGAAACAGAGCTTTTCCAAGCAGCATTTCTCCAAGGATGCAGCCGAGGCTCCACATATCCACACCGTTGGTGTACCTTTGGACAAGATTACAGCATAAGAGATTAAAGCGTAAAGTGTGATTAATC